AACCGCTTTCCAGGGTTGGGGACCGCGCATGCAGCTCCTGGAAAGGTTCGGATTCCCGGAGCCGCTGGAACCAAGGCTGGAGACCGGCGCCTGCGTAGGGAGCTGGGACTGTCCGCGACGTGTTAGGGCGCGGCCTGGAGCTGTCTGCTGCCTGGCAGCCCCTGGGCTGCAGTGCCCACCCCATTGGCGATCCTCGCCACCCTGCCCGTTGTGCACCCGGGAGGCGTGCCCGGAGTAGGCGGCTGGCGCTGCCTGCACGGTGCAGTGCCCCCATGGCGACCTCCCGTGGCCCAGGACCCAGGTGCTTGAGGGTGGGGAGAGATCTCCCCCTTCACGGGGTCCAGGCTCCTGGGCTGGGGCTGTAAGCCATTTGAGGAGTAAACCAGAGGATGGCAGATCTGTCTCTGTATCCCTTCTTCTCTCATTTACAAATAAAAATAAATGATTTTTAAATAACATTTTTTAAAGGATATGGAAAATGAAGACACGCTATTTGAAGTACCCACTTATGTGTATGGTAACTGGGGCTCCATGCTGGCCAGGGCTGGACAGGTGGAGAACACAGACCGTGGTTAAGGAGAACAGACCCACGAGGGAGCCATCCAAGTGTGAAGGCCAGCTTCCAGTGGACAGGGCCTGGAGGATGTCCCATGTCCCCATTCTGGTGACCTCTCTGGCCAGCGCCCATGTCTGCGTCCTGGGTAGATTTGGCTGCATTGTCTGGCGGCAGGGGAAGGAAAGGAGAGGAAGGCGGGCCCAGCACAATGGCTCAGTGACTGAATCTCCCTTACATGTGCTGGGATTCCATGTGGGTGCCAGTTTTTGTCCTGGCTGCTCCGCTTCCCTCCCAGCTCCCTGCTTGTGGCCCGGGAAAACAGTACAGGATGGCCCGAAGCCTTGAGATCCTGCACCTGCATAAGAGACCCAGAAGAAGCTCCTGGCTTAAAAAATTTTTTTAAAAGATTGATTTATTTTTTATTGCAAAGTCAGATATACAGAGAGGAGGAGAGACAAAGGAAGACCTTCCATCCAATGATTCACTCCCCAAGTGACTGCAATAGCCAGAGCTGAGCTGAGCTGAAGCCAGGAGCCTGGAGCTTCTTCCAGGAAGAAAAGAAGGAAGGAAGGGAGGGGGGGAGGGGGAGGGGAGAGGGGGAGAGGGAGAGAGGTAGGCAGGCAGGCAGGCAGGCAGACGCCAGCACATTGCTGAGTTGGCACAGGTCTCGCTTCCTGGGCAGCCTGCTTTGGAGCCCTGGAGACAGAGGAGGGGGAGCTGAGCTGGGCTGGGATAGGTATGGGGCATGCTGGGGCTGCCTGCCCTTCTCTCCATGCCCCCAGACCTTTCTGCCACACACATGAAGTGCCAGCCCTTTGTGTACCCCTGATGTGCCCGTGAGATTTGTACTCCTGTGCCTCGCCCCTCTATCACACGGTCCTGGCTACCTCCAAGGTTGCTGAGAAAATACCCAAGGGGTCACAGGTGGTCTGGAGCTGGCCTCTGACTGTGGCACTTGCTGGACATGATGTAAGAAAGACTCTGGACCCCTCACCAGTACCTCCGGAATCTTGCCAAGATGCCAGAATTCCCACCTTTGGCACACCTGTCCCTGGCCCATTCCACATCTCTTCCCTGCTATGTCCTGCCCACGGGGCACATAAGCAATGATGCAAGTGTCCTGTGGACAGGTGGCTTAGAATATCAGAAGAGGATGTGCAGGATGGAGGGCCCAGCAGGGTTGCCAGGAGCAGGTGTGTCCTGGCTTGCTGGGCAGGGGCGGGGGCTGACAGGTGATTCCCTCCTGTGGATGGGGCTGCACAGGAAAAGGCCTGCCTTACTCAGATTATAGGTATCTTTAGGGGGACAGGGGAATGAATGCATGGTCCTGCTACCCGAGGGCTGCTCACAGAGGCTCCTGGTCTCCCCACTCTCCTCCCCAACACATGCCAGGAAAAATGCCAAGAGAAAGAACCATTGTACCCAGGTGACAGATGGGAAAAGTGAGGCCTAGAAGGCAGGGCCCTGAAGATGCAGGTTTAGAGGGGAAGTGGCAAAGAAAGGGGTTGATTTGGATGTTGGCTGTTGCTGACTGAGAGCTGGGGCCCACCAGGACATGGTCTCCTCAAAGCCTGCACCTGGCCCAGCTGCAGAGTCTCTGGAACACAGGCAGGGCTAAGATGGAGAAGGCAGAGCTGGGACCTGCTCTGATCTGTGTGTGTGTCTCTCTCTCTGTAACTCCAACTTGCAGACAAATACGTAAATTGCAAAGGAGAGAAAGTAGTGAAGAAAGCTGGCAGGGTCTGGAGCGGGCCCCAGTGACCCAGCATGCTCTGCTCTCCACTGGCTTCCACTCCCTGCAGGGCCTGGCTGAGGCGGTGCTCTGTGGAAGGAAGGAAGGAAGGAAGGAAGGAAGGAAGGAAGGAAGGAAGGAAGGAAGGAAGGAAGGAAGGAAGGAAGGAAGGAAGGAAGGAAGGAAGGAAGAAGCAAGGAAGGAGGAAGGAAGGAAGGAAGGAAGGAAGGAAGGAAGGAAGGAAGGAAGGAAGGAAGGAAGGAAGGAAGGAAGGAAGGAAGGAAGGAAGGAAGGAAGGAAGGAAGGAAGGAAGAAGGAAGGAAGGAAGGAAGGAAGGAAGGAAGGAAGGAAGGAAGGAAGGAAGGAAGGAAGGAAGGAAGGAAGGCGCCAGCACATTGCTGAGTTGGCACAGGTCTCCCTTCCTGGGCAGCCTGTGGGCTCCCGTGGGCTCTGTGGGCTCTCGAGGTACTCGGCTGGGCATGCAGTTCCATGATGGGCCCTTTCCAGCCTCAGCTCAGGCCCTTGCCTGCCTGCACGGGGTGGAGCCTGGTGCCTAGGACCCCTGCTGGGCTCACTACCACAGTGGGCGGCACCCTTACCTGCTGTTTTCTTCCTTTGCGTCCTTTGACCTTGAGTATGGAGGGTGTGAGAAGACGTTCCAGCAGCTGCCAAGTCTGGGGAGCCTGCTCACCACCACATTTGCACCTGTTTGGAGAGGATAGACGCGAGACACACCCATTCAATTAGTTTGTCTCTGGTTCTGAAGATCGGGAGTGTTAGGAACCTGTGCCTTGGGCAGGGGGCTTCCTGTATAAATCCACCCTCTGTGTCTCCCCATCCCAGCCTCTCCAGGGCTACCTCCTTCCCTCCCCAAGTCCAGATCTCTCCTCCCCAGAACCATTCTGCTGAGCCATGCCCTGCTTGTGGCTGTCATTCACCCAGGGGATAAGTTGTGTTGGGGACTGGGTGTGGAGAGAGAGGGGGCACAGATGCAGACAAAACCTGGGCATGACCCCACCCAGTGCTGCCAGCAGGGAGGGCCCTGACACTGCCGGAGTGAGTTCAGCCACCGACTGTTGACCTGAGGCCCTGTGGGCAGTGAGCAAGACAAAATGGGAGGCAGGCAAAGGGATCCAGCCCTGAGAAAATGCTGGCAGATGTGGCTCAGGTGGGGACAGGGTACTTGCAATGAAGCCACTTGGGCTCAGACCCCCTAGGCAAGTCCCTTCATTTCCATGGGCCTCAGTGTCCTCTCCTTGATGGAGGTGGCATCAATGGAATCTTCCAAACATGGTTCTGGAGAGGATGGTGTGGGCCGGAGGATGCTCAGCATTCAACCTGCCCCATCTCTGGAGGCAAGAAGAGCATCCCAGTGCCCAAAGCACAGGCCAGGGATGGCGGGGGGCATCCAGGAACAGACGAACTCTGAGCAAGGGGATTGGTGGATGTGTGTTGGAGCTAGGGGAGGGGTGGAGAGCGGCAGAGTCCCCCCACCCCTCCCTTTCAGCAGGGTCAGAGGACACTGGGAGCCTTGTGAAGTTGCCCCTGCCCTACCCTGCCTTTGTTGCCTGAACCAGCCTTGCCCCTCCCTGATTACTGTCACAGCCCAAGGTGAGGCAGGCCCAGCTCTGCGTGTGCATGAATCTGGGCTGGCCCCTGACTGACCCCGAGCCAGCCCCAGGTCCTTAGCTGCTGCCCATGAATGACAGAGAGTGACAGGTGGGCCTTGCCCTTCTGCCTCCCCAGCAGTGACTGCCCGTGACCTGCTGAGCAAGCGGCATTTCAGCTCGGCTCTGCTTGCCTGGGCTCCCCCACGACAGTCCAGTATCTGGGGAAGCAGTGTGGACGGGCCAGTATCCAGAAGCACATGGGAAAGCAAGCCCTGGCTTCCACACTTAAAACCCAAGGCCTGGAGTACGCCCCGTGTCTCGAGGGTCCCCAGGGAGCATTGTCTCTGCTCGGCCAAGTCCAAACAGGACTCCTGGGCGCAGTGCAGCACTGACCAGCACTGACCAGCTTGGCCCTTGTGGGTAAAGGGGTTCTACCATAGTACAACCTCCCCACCGGGAGCCCATGCATCACAGAATGTGAGATAAACCCAGTCCCCAGACATCTTGACTGAGTTATTTAACCACTCTGTTGGGCAGGGAGGCAGAGCAGGGGCGGTTCTTGTTAACCCCACTCAGCAGGTCTACTCGGAGCAGTGCCCAGCTGGCGTCTGCACCTGCTCATTTTGATGTGCCTCTGACATGCCAGCTGCTGTGCTGTTAATGACATCTGACAAGTTTCGGGGTGCAGACAGGGAAAGCCCAACCCCAGTCTGGTGGGGATTCTTGAGGTCAGGTGTGGCCAGGCAGGGCCATTTGAGTACCCTGGGGCTACCTCATATCCCTGTGGAGATATGGAGCAGGTGGGCAGGGTTGCTCTAGAAACCCCTCATGCACTGCCCATTGCCTGGAGCACCCTCAGCGCAAGGCCATGCCCCCAGGGTGCCTAGGGGTGATGTTCTCCTTGGCAATGACGACCCACATAGGTTCCACAAGCACCCGGAGTTGGCACCATAGCATATCACATATCATTAGACTGTGTCTGCTCACGTGTGTCCCCAGGAAGGACTTTGGGTCTTCCTCATGACTGACTCAGTAAGGACAGGAGGCATGGCCAGTGGTGGAGTGTGGGATTCAAGTTTTATTTGGAATCATTAAAAAAAAAAAATCCACAGCAGCATCTGTGGGGTTAGGAAGCCCAGAGGCCGGAGGGGCCGAGGGCATGGGAGGTAAGCATGTTGGTGGCAGCAGCATAGCAGGTGCAGGTGCAAGGAGCGTGGGCAGCCTGCAGGGCACACTCCAGGGGAACCGGGCACTCCTCATCCTAGGAACTGATGGGGTCTGAGCGGTCTGGCCTGCAGCCCTCTAATTTCCCACATTCTTGGCCTGAGAGAGAAAGAGTGAGAGAGACAGACAGAGAATACCCCTCACACATACATACACACTGCCCCAGGCCCGTCACCCTCAATGGCCACCCTAAGGGGGCTGAGTCTGTGCCCCCTGGCACACAGGTTCATGCTTGGTCCTATCCACAGACCCTGTGTGGGCTGCAGAAGGTCAGGAGGTCCCTCTGGGATCCCCCCTTGCCCCATGACATGCCCCGGAAGCCCAGTTCCTACCTCCTCAGCCACGTCCACTTCCTCTTGGACTGTCTCGCCTTCCTGTGGGGGAGCAGGTGGCTTCAAGTCCTCCTGGGGGGCGGGGTAATAAGGATGCAAAGTAGCAACAGGAACCCAGGCCCACAAGCCGGGTGGGGGGAGCCCCGGCTGGCACCATGCCTGAGGATGCCAAGGCCTTTTGAGGGCACTCAGTACCCCCTCCCAGGAAGCCAGCCTTGGTCCCTGCAAGGCAGATCCCAAGTTGCTGGGGACCCCTTGGTAGGGCTTCCTTGGTGAAGAGGCCTGCAGTGGGGTGGCGTGCAGTGGGGTGGGCATCCCCGTGCTCCTGAGTCATCTGTGTACACCTCTCTGCCCTGCCATGCCTCTACCAGCAGGAGGACTGCATCACCACTGCTCTTGGGGACCCAAAGCCTGGGGAGCTGGGTGACCCTATCACTGTTTCAGAGTTCCAAGCAGCCCGGCAGAGCAACATCAGGTCTGGCTTGCTCCAGGAATCACCTCAACCTCCAGTAGCAGAAGTTCCTGCTTGCCTGCCTCACAGGCGGGCTTGGGCACAGGCCCATTTGGACTGGCAAACACTGATCTATCCTCTTCTACGTCCCGTCACCCTTGAGCCCCCACATTCCAGGCCCACCAGACACTTAGCTGTGGTTGTGGCCGGGTTGAGGACCATAACGGTGATTGGCTAGGACCTTGGTCCAACATCTCCCTCTGGTGGTTCCCGCCACCTCCATGCTGTTCCGCTGGCCCTTCCTGCCCCACCCCTGTGCCAGCCCGTATGGGCCAGGCTCTGCTGGCCAGCGACAAGCAGCAGCAAGCTGGGACCTGCTGTCCCCGCCCATGCCAGCCCCTGAGAGGCCAGGCAGGCTGGGCTGTGTTCTGTTGCAGTCCACCCTGGGGACAAGTGAGAACAGGAAGTGAGTCTCCCCAGAGGTGGCCCAAGAGTAACATGGCCCTTCAGTAGGATCAGCTGGAAGTGCCCAAACAGCCCCACCCTAGGACTGGGTCTCTGGGCTCTGGCCAGGGTTCTGCTGCTGCTGGCATCATGGCATTGTCTTGCTGGAGGCTGACTGTGAGCCAGGCAGAAACCCCTCAAGGGAGCCACACCTCGTGACCCTGCATTCCCCAGCCCGGTGAGACTCCTGCTTACTCCCATTTCACAGACGACGAGTGAGACTCAGATAGCCCACACTGCATCCCAAGATCCCAGGGCCAGGAGAGGAGCCAAGCTGGACACTGGGAGAGGAAGCTGCCTGCTCCAAGGACCGGACATCTTACGCTGGCCCTGGAAGCCACGTGCTGGGCACCAGCAGCGGAGGCAGGGCCAGGGCAGCCCTTGCATGGACCACCTGGTGGGGTGGGGAGGGCCTGGTTTCCACACCCCCAGCTGACGGGATTTCGGCGCTGGTTATAGGAGTTAACGAGTATGAAAAGCTGTCAGCTCCTGTGGTATGTGTTGGGACAACACTCTCCTGACACTGCCTGTCTGTGGCCCGGGTGTCTGTACACACACAAACATGCGCATACACATATACACTCACGCAACACACAGGATGCTCAGACACACAAAAGCAGCCAAGGGTGGGGTCGGAACACTGACTGCTTTTCCGCCACCAGGGGGCAATGCATCCCTGGGAGAAGGCAGCAGCCGAGCCAGACCTGCCCAGACCAGGCTCGGCTGGGCACCAGGAGGGATGCAGGAGGCTCGACAGGTCTGGCATGTTGTGCCCTGCCCAAGCCACGAGCTGTCCCCATGTGAGGCCCTGTTCTCACGTAGAACAGATACGGAGAGCCATCTTGTGGGTGTGGCTCTGGGCTCTCCTTGCCTGTGAAACCAGGCCCAGGACTCCCTGGCTCAGGAATTCCAGAAACCAACACAGCAGGTACCCAATGTCTGTCCCCACCCCAGCACAACAGGAATGGGCATCTAACGGGAGGCCAAGCCAGCCCCCTGAGTGCCCGACCCCTTCCCCTGCCTCCCACCTCCGCTGGCCTCCCCTAGGGCAGAGGGGAGAGAGGAGGGAGTCCACTGCGGGACCGGCCCTCACCTTGCGCACAACCCCGGTGGTGACAACAATGTTCTCCGCCTCCTCCACAGTCTTGTTGGCCACCGTGTTGACGCTGGTCACCACGGCCTCGCTCACGGCATTGGCTTGCTCCTTGGTCTTTTCAGCCACTGTGGGGAGATAACGGGGTGCGGGGAGGATGCTTGGGCGGGCCTCAACGCCAAGCCACCCCATCCAACCTGTACTGCACCCCTTCCCATCAGGCCAGCCTCTCCCGGACCCCTTGCTGCCACGTATGTGTATGCACACGCAGAAGGACAGGCTGACGTGAGGAACCAAGAGCCCTGCCCTGGACTAGCCTCAGGACTGCCAGCGCAGGTGCAGCCCCCAAACCCCCACCCCAGGGAGTCCCAGAGCCTCACCTGAGGTCACGCTGTGCACCACATTTTCCTTGGTCTTGGCTCCTGAGGAAGTGATGGAACTAGAGGTTGGATACTGCCCAGACCCTGGGCTCCAGACCCTGTTTGGGTGTGGCCTGGGCCCCTGGGAAGCAACGCCAGGACAAGGCAGACAACAGCTGAGTCATCAGCTCTGCTTTGTGGGACAGCCGCTGAGCCCAGGTCTCCTGTCCCCAGCCCACCTGCCCTTCTGGGCAGGGTGGAGCCCTGCAATCTGGTCTGGGCTGCAACAGAGGATGGGCAGGGCGGGGTCTTCAGGCCCAGGAGACCTGTCGCAGCTGTGTGAGCATCTGAAGGTCCTTGGTGGGTGAAGGGCAGGTGGGCAATCCCTGCCCAAGGGTCTTCAGTGGTCCTGAAGATACCACAGGCTTGTACAGGTGCCTCCGGATGCTCTAGGGCCTGGATACCCCGCCTAGCAGCCAGGTCCTCACTGCCCCCTCCTCAGCTACCCCGCTGCAGCCCCCAGGCACCTGAGTGCCCACTCACCCACATACATGACCCCCTCTTTGGTCTTCTCCGCTGCCTCCGTCACCCCCTGCTTGGTCTTCTCCACGGCACCCACCACGCCTTCCTTGGCAATGGAGAAGCCCTTCTTGAAGACATCCATGATGCTGGGCACAAACGGGAAGATGCCTGGCTGCCTGCGAGCTGCGAGCTTGGGGCTGGAGCTGGCCTGAGCGTTGCCGCAGCCGTCCCCGCTGCTCTTATTGACGTCGATGAAATATTGATGCTGAGGCGGCTGGCGGGAGCCCAGCCAGCTCTGGGGCGGGGTGGTGGGGGCAGGGTGGTGGGGGCAGGGCGGCACGGGGACCTCCCTCGGGGAAGCAGCAAGAAGCAGGTCCCCAGGGCCCAACCGGCTCTGCCTTGCCCTCCTGCCCTTCAAGAAGGGGGGTGGGGGGACTGGCCACATCCCCCAGTTCTCACTGCCCTTCACTCCCTGCCTGCCCTGCCAGCCCTGCCTGACCCAAGGCCAGCCCTGTTGTATCTGCAAGCAGGGAGGGAAGAGTTTGCCCAGCGACCCTTGCATCCTGGGCACAGCAGGGGCCAGGCACACCTGTTGGATAATGAATCAGGACCAGCGTGGGGCTGCCCCATGATCACATCCTCCAGGATGCCCCTCTGGGGAGCTGAGCTAGCAGGGGCAGGACTTCCCCGACCCCAACCTGAACTCTGTGAGACCCCAAAATAGATCCTTACCTTCTGTGAGACCCCATTCCACCCCCTACCCCTGCCCGCTGCCACTGCCCACCCCCTCTACCCCCCAGCCATGCTGCCTCCCACAGCACAATGACCAAGGCCAAGGTGTTTGGAAAACACACTCATGTACCCTGTACTTCCTGGCCAGCAGCAGGGGCGGCCAGCAGCGGGACCCCTGGAGCCTGGACCGGCCACTTCCTGTGGTTTCTGTGCTGCTGCTGCCTCCCAGGGCACCGGTTCCCATGGGACTTGTTAACTGCGGCCATTCCCTGTGGGTCCCACCCACCTTCCAAGTCCCTGGGGCGCAGCAGGAACCCACTTGCGAGCTGGGCGGCCTCTGTCAGCCAGGCCAGGAGCTCCGGCCTGCACTCACCGGGTGGGCCGGCCCCGGCCACTTCCTCTCTTTGTTGTTCCTGTGTTTTCTTTGCCTTGGGAGAGACAACTTAAGGTGACGTCACTGGTAGTTTCTGGAGTCAGTCTTTGAGAGCAAGCCCTCACGGAGCCCAGAACTAGCCCGCGCCGCCCACGGGGACCATGATCCTCATACTGCTCTTTTGTCTCGGGGGTCCGCTGGGCTGGGCCCAGGTTCTGGACACCAGCGTCTCTGAGCCGTGGAGTCTCAGGCCACCAGGGACAAGGGCTGAAGACCTTGACCCGGACCCTGCCCGACGGTAAGGGGGTGCAGTGCTTGGGCAGAGGTTATGGGGGCAGAATCAGCATCTCAGCTTAGCTCCAGCAGGTCCTCGCTGGGCCTGAACTCGCATCTGTGAAATGGGTTAACACCATCTATCTTCTGGTCCAGCCACAAGGCTGACCAATAGCCAGCCTTGGCTTCAAGGGACTGCCTCCAAACAGCCTGTCCTGGGTACCACAGTTCTGGCTCAGGAATGACAGGGTGCTCCATGCCTGACGCCACCACAGGGAAAGGGGGTGGTGGTACCTGGAGTTTGGTCAGGATAGGTTCAGCAAGTTCTAGATCTTTCCAGCTGGCTTGGCTGTGGTTCTTACCCTTCTAGAAAAATCAATCAGGACAGCTCAACCCCAGCCAGACTGGCCCATCCCCAAGCTCCAGCAGGCCTGGGAGTGAGAATTTGCTTGAGTGCCCAGGGGGACCTGAGCCTGAATTGACAGGGCACTCTGTACCTGCTGAGCCCTATGGAGACTGTGATGTCTAAAGTCTTGAGCCTCCAGGCTTCCCAATGACCCAGCACACCATTCACCAGCACTCTGCTGGCCAAGGTCAGGGACCCTCTTGCTGACAAGGGGCTGAGCCTGGGCGTCGCCCCCTCCCTAGGATGGAGGTAGCAGGTGCCACTGGCTGGGTCAGGCACCCTGCCAAGCAGGATCGGTTAACATCCTGCTCTGGCCATTTATAGAGAAGGAGCCCAAGGCTCTGAGAGGCTGAGCAGTCTGCCTTAGGTCACACAGCCCAGGAAAGCTGCGTCAGCTCTGACTCCAGAACACAAGCTACAGCCCCCACATGCTCCTACTCCCACCTCATGGGTTCCCTTACCCCCAGGTCACCTGCATCTGTGCGTGTGTGGGAGGGGTGACCTGGAGGGGGACAAGGGCTGCATCGCGCCGACCGTGAGTCTCCCATATGTGGGGATGGAAGTCGCCGGGCTGGCCCTTGTGTCTGCCTGTGTGGACAGAGCTCACTTCCAGGTGCATGGCAGCGGAGTGAGGAGCTTGTATAGGCCAGGCTCTCATGAGGGAGGGGCCAGAGAGGCTGGGGGCTTGTGGGTGCCTCCGTCCCCACTCCCACTCAGGGCTTGGAGGTGCAGGTGGCTGTGGTGTGGGGAGCTCAGTGCCCATCTCCAGGTTCAGCAGCCCCCTTCCCAGAGCTGCCAGCCTCTGGCCCCAGCCACTGGGTCTCTCTCATCTCTGCAAGGTGGAGGAGGGTGCACACTTTGCTATGGCTGGAGCTAGGCTGCCTGGGCGGGGTCTCCGCATACAGAGGGTGCCGTGTCTGTGGCCCCCAGCCGGCCCAGCTACCCCCAACCTGCTGGGCTTTCCTTCCCACACTCCCGGAGGTGCCTGAGCCCCACAGGCGCCATCGGCCAAGGAGCAGAGGCAACCGCAGGAGCTGGTGAGAAAGGAAGGAAGCACGGTCGCTTCCTGGGCTGACAGCTTTGCTTCCCGTCTGTCCTGCTGACCCTGCTCCTCCTGCCTGCCGCCAGCTGCAGCTGGAGCAGGCGACTGCTCTACTGGCTAGCTCAGGCAGCAGGAGCAGCCCCCACCCCCACCCCCTGCCAGGGCCAGGCCAGCGCGTGCATCCCACACCCGGTTCTTGAAGCCCCATGGGAAAGGCTGAGCTGTTGGTGCTTAATGAGGTGTCACCCAGGGATGGTCAGATCGCAGGTGGCGGAGGAACCCGACAGAGCTCTCTATGTTGGGCTCAGGGAGCCATTGGTGGGAGCCTTGGGACTCCTTCCAGATGCCTTGCCGGGACTTGCCACCCTCGGGGAGATGAGTCTGTGACGGGACCCTAGGGAGCCCAGCACCCAGAGGTGTTGCTGCTACAGCATTCCTGGACACATCCCCCAGAGCCACAGAGGCTCTTGAATACTAAGCTAGAGCTGGGGGGTGGGGGAGTGGGGAGAAGTCCCTGGCCACTCAACTGCAAACCCCACTTCATGTGTCCTGCCCTCTGCAGCAGGGGTGCTGGCTAGAGAAGGGGCTTGGCTCATGGTATCAATGGACCCTGAGCACCAGCTCCCAGCCTCTCATACAACAGGATATCTGTGGTTTTGCAGCAGCCCAGAGGGGGTACACCCTGTTGCTGGAGCAGGCTGGAGCCTGGGCTGGGGGTGAGGGTGGGGTGGGTCTCCCAGGGCTGCTGCACCTGCTGCTCCTGGGGCTCAGAGCCCTCAACAAGAACAAGGCAGGAGCGCCCACGCCCTCAACTCCCTCGTGGCTGCTTGGGGTCAAGGCTTCCTCCCAGAGGCTTCTCCGCCAACGCCCCTGTCCGGCTCAGGGACAAAGCCTGGAGAGTTTGTCCCCTGGGAAATCACGTTAATGGCTGCTGAGAATTCGCCCTCCTTCCCCAGGAAGCCTCAGGGACCAGCAAGAGCTGCGGGGGTGGGGAGAGCGTGGAGGGAGAGGCTGCTAAGTGCTCTGGCCACCCCAGCCGCCCATCCATTATACTGCAGGCTCTGCTCTTTGCCACACCCACCTGGACTGGGAGAGGGGCCTGGCTGAAGGTCATTGCGGTCCACTGAGGAGAAGGGAGGGGAAGAAAAGGAGAGGAGAGGAGGGGAGGAGGGGAGGAGAGCAGGGGAGGGGAGGAGAGGGAAGGGAAGGGAAGAGGAACCCAGCTCCTCCATTGTAAAGCCTTGTACACATGGGCGGAACATGAAGGCGGCAGGGACAAGTGCAGGCTCAGAGGACAGTGAGCACCTGCCCCCAGGGCCCCAGGGAGATGAAGACCACCCCATTCTGCCGGGGGTGGGGTGGCTCCCCAGTGTCAGAGGGCCAGAGGCGCAGAGGCGGCAAGAACAATACACACTTGAGCAGCTGGGTCAGGGTCACTGGTGCCAAGGCCAGCCAGGAGCTGCCAAGAGCTGGAGGAAGCCAAGGCAAGGGCCAGGAATGTTCCCAGGGCCTCTGGGCCAGCAGCCTGCACACTGTGTGCCAGGGCTGGGAGTGGGGGTAGCGTGGGCAGCAGGAGCCCAGGGGAGGGGCTGGTCCGGAGAAAGTTCCAGAGCAGGAAAAGTGGGCAGCCGTTTCCCGCTCCAGGAGCCAGAGGTGGAAAGTCCCAGTCACTCCAGGCCTTCCATCAGGCCAGAGGGTGGGCGGGTGTGGAGCTGACCGCTGTTCAGAGGGGCCCCTCCTCACTCCTCAGTGTCAGAGCCTCTGCATGGGGTGCTGACGCAGGTGCAAGGCCTGCTCTATGCATAATCAGTGGTGAGCAGAGCCCTGGGACTCTACCCACTGATGCCAAGAGTACCCATCACGCAGTCATTCAACCATACCTGTCCCCAACACAGCCAGATACACACGGGCAAAGTCCATCTCCCCCACCAAGACCCTGCTTTTCCTAGGGGTGGGCCTACCTTCCAGAAGCTTCCAGGGGTAATTTCCAGGCCTGAGCATCTGCACAGATGGACACTGTCTGCATCACCCCAGAGTGCTGGGTCCACCCAGCATGGGTGAACACTCCTCCTGTCCAAGCTTCTATGGGTCCCCTCTCCACCACTGAGGAGTCTATGGGCTTCAGTGCCTGCCCACTGGGCCATCAGCTTCTGTGCCCGCCTCTCTGCTCAGCGCAGGTCTCGGTGACCAGAAGAAAACCCCTCTTTCTCGGCTGTTCACCTCCATTTTTCCTTCAAAGGGAGAGGATTTCATTTTATTATTATCTTTTCAAGTTTTGCTTATTTATTTGAAGGAGAGAGAAGGAGAGACAGATGGTCCAAACTCTTCACTCCCCAAGTGGCCGCACAGCTAGAGCTGAGCTAATCTGAAGCCAGCCAGGAGCTTCTTCCAGGTCTCTGATGCAGGTGCAGGGTACCAAGACTTTGGGCCACCCTCGGCTGCTTTCCCAGGCCACAAGCAGGGAGCTGGATGGGAAGTGGAGCCGCTGGGACTTGAGCCAGTGCACTGATGAGGGATGCTGGCACTGGTATCAAGGGCTAGGCCCCAGCACGGCCAGGCCTTGCTTTCTCTGTCTTGGTGACAAATTTGATTCCAAACTCCCAGCCAGCCATCCACATCGCCCTTGACCATGCTTGTCCTACCAGCTGAGTCTTCAGCGATGCCGCCCCCAGGGCTCCTGTGCTTGGTCAGTCCTCACTGGCTCCCTGTGTGCCCTCACTCTCAGTCATCATTGCCCAAGGCTGGGCACTCTTCACCCCATTTCTGGTTGGAGTCTGCATTTCCAGTCCTTGTGTGTCCCTTCTCCTTGGCTTTTTCTTGGATACAACGCCACTTCCTGTGGCACACAGGTATCCAGGAATGGGCTGGGGTGGGGCGGGGGTGTGTGCTACAGAATCCCTCCAGCAGCTACAGCCTGCTGGTGCCCAGGCTTGACCTTGGCGAGTCTCCTTGAACCTGTTGGCCTGAGGCCCAGAGTCTTCCTCCCCAAGCTCAGGATGGTTTGGTCAGGTTTCTGGCCTGGGCAAGGGCAGTTCCCTGGGTGGGGGAGTGTGTGGCCCGTGCGTACCTGGAGATGACTTCCTCTGGCTGATAGCTGACTCTGCACTGATGGCGATGGCCCTGGGGATGCAGGTCTCACGGTGCTTGAAGGGGAGTGTGTGTGTGTGTGTGTGTGTGTGTGTGTGTGTGTGTGTGTGTGTGATGGCTGGCCTCATATCCCACGTACTCAGAAGACCCCTCCCCTCTGGAATCCGGGGTTTACTTGTATCATTAGTGGTTTCCTGCCCGGGTTTGGGGGGTCCTAGTCTTTGGGCATGGGGATCTGTTTCTCTTCTTTCAGGGGAATTTCTTTAACTTTACCTGCTGCCAGTGCCCTAAAATTTCTTTTCTGGGAGGCAGGGGCGGCAGGGGAAAGCAGATTTAAACTAATGGCACCCCAGCTGGGTGCCAGTTCAAGTCTCGGCTGCCCATGGCTTCCCATGCTCTGGGACGTGCCAACTTCTCAGCCTGGGAATATGAGTGCACCCCGTGGACCGGGTGACTCACTGTGGCCGCTGTCCTTGGCTTCTCTCAGGGGTGGCCAGGGCTCTGTGCTGACTTGGTTGAAGGTGGAGAGGCTGTGGCTGCAGCGGCCAGGCCGGGAGGGCCTGCTGCACTTTCCCGAACACAATCCCTAACCATGCCTGATGGCTGCCAGACCAAGACCAGCTCCAGCGAGCAAATTCCAGCCCCTCCAGCAGCCACATAATGGGCATTCTGCCCAGCCAGTCCCCCTGGCAACACAGCTTCACAGCACATTTCCATAATGGCTCTAATGGGCCCGGCCAGTGAATGAGAGCCCTTGCTGCAGCAGGCCAAGGCAGGACTATCAACTGGGCAGGCTGCCAGAGGCCTGGGGTGCTGTGCAGGAGCCCTTCCTTGCCAGGAGACACACAACTGGGCTGCTGCAGCCATTCATTCAGTAGAAGGCATCCCGTTCCCCTGCTCTCCCCACCTTGCCTCGCTCAAGGTCACACAGGCAGATGTGCCGAGCGGCAGAACCCAGCACTGGAGCCAGGAGACACGGCACCAGCTATGCAGGTGGCCTTGCTGTGTTGCCCTGGTGGAGGCTTCTGGAAGGCATTGGAGCAGGTGCCTTCCCCGCCAGGTGGGGTCTGTGATGGCTCTGGAATCAGGAACAGCTAACACAAAGGACTTCCTTCTCAGGCTCTCTGTCACTCTGCAAGTGGCTTCGCTGGCCCCACGCGGGGCCAGGCTAGGGGCTTCATCCGGGTTTCCCTCGTGAGTGGCAGGGATCCAGGCTCTTGAACCATTCTCTGCTGCTTTTCCAGGCACCTTCACAGGGATCTGGATTGGAAATGGAGTACCCTGGACTCAAACCAGGGCCTCTATGGGACACAGGCATTGCAGGCCATGGTTTAATCTGCTGTGTCACCATGCCTGCCCCTCCTTTTGGTTTCTAGGAGGGATCCTGGGGAATCTTGGGTCTAGCTCAGGAGCCCCCTGTTCTGGCTCATTTTCCAGGAACTGGTGCCCATACCAGAAGTCCAAGTTGGTCACCTATGTAGCCGCTTGCAAAACAGAGAAGTTCCTGGTGCACTCCCAGCAGCCATGTCCCCAGGGACAGCCAGACTGCCAGACACCCAAAGTCATGTGAGTGCACCCTGTGAGCCCCGGGCGGGGCGGGCTGGGTCGGGGTGGGGGGCATGCTGGACTCACTGAGTCTTGCTCCCCAGGTACCAAATGGCCCCGAAGCTGGTGTACCAGGTTAAGCAGAAGGTGCTGATGTCGGTGGACTGGAGGTGCTGCCCAGGCTTCAGGGGCCCCGACTGCCAGCACTACGGTAGGGCTTCTGGCAGCCCTTTCCCCCCTGACCTCTGAGTTCAGAGGTCACGCAGCCCTCCCCACGCCCCCACCAGACTCCAAGGCCAACATCTGATGCTTCCCTCTGCAGACCCCACGGCAGTCTCAGATCCTGCAGAGCCTGGCGACTGGAGCAGGCTGGGCAGCTCGGAGCACGGTGAGCTGCATGGGGTGGGGGGCGGGGCCCTGGGGTGGGGCTGTGTCCAGACCTTCCTCCGGGAGTCCTCAGCAGCCCCCTTCTCTCCTTGACCCCATTCCCTGAGTGGGGCCGTCTGGTCCAGCCCGGAAGCCCACCCGGGCGCCCACCCGGGCAGGCCGTTGGCTGCCCCCTAGAGTCAGCAGGGGGTAACAGATTATCACAGCTGAGTGTTCCAAAGTTGGCTCCCTCAGGTGGATTGGCAAGGACTGTGATGGAGGATGCCACAGTTGATTAAGCATGTCTGTTGTGTTTGTGGCAGGGTGGGTAAAGGCTCCTGTCCTGTGTGTTTTTTCTTTGTGAGCTAAAGGCTGCTAAGCGATGGCTCAGAGGACCCCAGGGGGCGCCTCATCTGTTCCTCTTTATGCCCTGCCCCTCTTCCCCCTTGCATCTCCTTCTCTGGGCCTCACCATCTTCCCCGGGCCTGGAGAGTGAGCATGTCCTATATGCAATCAGGCCCCTTGGCTGTGGAGGTGCAGCAGCAGCAGGGTCAGCAGCAGCCCCCGCAGGGAGGATTCCAGAACGACATGCAGCCAGGGCTGGATGGCCTTCCAGACCCTTGGAAGGCCCCAGCCGGGAACCTCACAGTCGCTGGGATGGAGACCAATCACACGGAGCTTGGTGAGTGGCAAGCTAGGGGCTGGGGGGGTTCCCAGCTGAGGAAATGGGGGTGGATGGCCCAGATCCCAGCGGCCCCTGCAGTGGCCCAGCTGCGGAATGGGGTGAGCAGGATGCTCGTGTGACCCTGGGCCCCTCGTAGGCTTTCCTGGCAGGGCCTTGGAGCAGGTGCTCCTGCACCACGCCGACACCTTCCTGCAACGGCACCTGGGCTCCATCTGGAAGAACTTCAACGACAGCCTGCATAGCCTGGCCCAGGCAGTGAGGAACCTGTCCCTGGATGTAGAGGCTAACCGCCAGGCCATCCAAAGGGTTCAGGAGGACGTAGTGGCCAGAGCTGATGTCCAAGAGCTTGGGGCCAAGTTTGAGGCCAAGGTGCAGGAGAATGCCCAGCGGGTTGGGCAGCTGCGGCAGGCGGTGGAGGAGCACCTGCACGCCCAGCTCCAGTCCCTGCGCCACTCGCTCTCCGAGTTCCAAACCGACGTGGACGCCAGGCTGAAGCAGCTACACAAGGCCCAGGAGTCCCCGGGAAGCCATGGTGGCCTGGAGGCGGCCGCCAAGCCGGAGCCCGACAGCCTGCACGCCAGGCTGGGCCAACTGCAGCGGAACCTGTCGGAGCTGCACGCGGCCCTGGGCCGCAGGGAGGAGGAACTGCAGGGCACCCTGGGGGACGTGAGTGCCACCTTGGCCCAGCACAGCGAAGAGATCAAAGAGTTATACTCAGAGTCGGACGAGACCTTCGACCAGATCAGCAGGGTGGAGCGGCAGGTGGAGGAGCTGCAGGTGAACCACACGGCGCTGCGCGAGCTACGAATAATCCTGATGGAGAAATCGCTCATCATGGAGGAGAACAAGGAGGAGCTAGAGCAGCAGCTCATGGAGCTCAATGTGACGCTGCAGCAGCTGCAGGGCGGCCAGGCCGACCTCCTCAAGTACGCCAAGGATTGCAACTGCCAGCGGCTCTACCTGGACCTCGACGTCATCCGGGAAGGCCAGAAGGGCACCACGCGAGCCCTGGAGGAGGCGCAGCTGAGCCTGGACGAGCAGCGCCGGCTGGACAGCTCCTCGCTGCAGGCCCTAAGCAGCGCCGTGGACGCTGTGGCACAGGCCGTGGACGCGCGCAAGGCCGAGGGCGAGCAGGCGCGCGCCGATCGAGCGCGGCTCCGGAGCCAGCTGCAGGCAGTGCACGGCGAGGTGGGTGCGTTGCAGGCGGCCGCCGGCCCGCTGCGCGCCGAGGTGCAGCGGCTGCACAGCGCCTTCGCCGCGCTGCTGCACGACGCGCTGCGCCACGAGGCCGTGCTGGCCGCCCTCTTCGGGGAGGACGCGCTGGAAAGGCTGTCGGAGGACGAGGCCAACCCACTGCCTCTGCGCTATGAGCAGATCCGCACTGGCCTGCAGGACGCCGCCAGCGGGCTGCAGGAGCAGGCGCTCGCCTGGCATGCTCTGGCGGCCCAAGTGGCCACCCTGGAGCAGCTGGTGAAGCAGCGCCTGGAGCCCCCTCAGGACTCCCTTCCGGAAGAGGCTGGTGCTGCGACCCTGGCCCAGCTTCAGGGCCTGATGACGGAGGTCATATCCCAAGTCAATAGCCTCCGGCATTGCTGCGAAGCCCCCGGGGCTGCCCCCTTCAACAGTTCGCTCCAAGGTCTCTCCAGTGTGCTGTCAGCCACGCAGCACGACCTGGAGCAGCACCGGCAGCTCTTCAACCGGCTGTTTGACAACTTCCAGGAGCTCCTGGACACCAACGTCAGCTTGGACCTGAGCAAGCTGCAGACCTTGGTGAGCAGGAAAGAGAGGAAGCAGCAGAAAGGCCTAGACGGCTCCCGGAAGAGGGACAAGAAGCAGGTGCAGCCCTGGGCGGATGCAGGCGCCCCAGTGCCCATGCCGAGGGGCCCAGGTGGGCTCTGGGGGACAGGTGAGTTTCCGGGCTGGGGCTGGGCTCCTATGCTGGCAGCAGCGCTTTGGTCTTCAAAGGGGCTGGAGCTAATTAGGAGAATAGTAAGATCCCAGGCACCTGGACATGGGGTGTTACACAGCTTTTCAGGGCTGTGCGCCTCTGAAGCCATCTGAAGTATGATGGCGTGGAAGTTACCAGAATCATAGCTCATTCTGTAGCACTGGCTTTCCAGGCTCCTGACAGGGGCTGCCTGTCCACCCCAACTGCAGTGGGAGCTGGAGCCACTTGGGGGACACTGCTCCGTGTCCCAAGTGGGTCCCCCTGCAGTGTCCTTCTTCCAAGTCAGCCAGGCATGCAGCAGGAAGCACCATCCTGTGACCCAGAGGGGCTCCCCACTGGGGGGACGCGTGACCTGTGTCAGTTCCAAATCCAGATCAGCAGTCTCCGAGGGTGCTGGCTCTTCCTGTTTGTTCCTGACACACACCGGGTCTGGCAGCTGGGCCTGGAGCTCAAGTACTCGGGCAGCCCACCCTCCCACACGGTCCCTTTGGAGGTGGCCCTGCAATGGCATGTCCCCCAGGGACTCTGCCCTCATAGCCCGGACCACTTCTGCAGAGGATAGGCTGCCACTTTGGCCAGCTGTACCTGGTGCATCTGGCACGGGGTTGGGTGTGGGAAGGAGTCCAGGGCTTGGCTGCCTCCATGCACCCTCCAAATGGCCCATGGGCTCCAGTATCTCTCTCCTCCGTTTCTGGCCCAGCATGATGATCTCACTCTCAACCTTTGAGGATGGCTTGTGAATCATGAGTAGGAGGCCTAGGACAGTCACTGTCTCCCACTGCCCCCAGTACCTCCAGGCTGAAGCTGTGCCTGCATGCACCAATTCTAGGATCTGCCTTCCTTGTGTGATGCTAGGATGGCCTGGGTGGGCCTGATAGTGTAGCACTGTCTAGCCCTGCAGTATTTGTTCTTTCACGATATTGCTTCCTTAAAAAGAGAGTGGGTTCTGTATTTCTCTTGCAGGGTGGCTGCAGGGCTTGCGTTGTACGCTGTGAGGAAGCACCCACGGTGTAGTTGCACCTGTTGGGTGCACGGGACGCCGGCAGAGGGCGCTGAAGGCGGGCCTGTCTTCTGCTGGGCGATGGCTCCCTCTGCTGGGCGTGACGGGGAACTGCAGAGCTGGCACTTGCTCAGCAATTGCCTTGTTCAGACTCGCAATCAGGAAAGCTGGTGCCACCGAGAACTTGTCATTCACAGAATTCTCCCAAATTTGGACTGGGGACTAGCAGAGCTGGGGCTATCGCTGACTGCTCTGCAGACTACAGGCCCCCCCTCTGATAAGCAGGTGCTGGGAGTCTTAACCCCTGGAGAGTGGACAGGGAGGGAACCCAGGAGACACGTGTCCTTGCAGGCACCAAGGTCCTTGTAGCTGGAGCCCGATCAGCACTCAGACACAGGCCCAGCCTTCCTGGCTGGGCAGCAGGCTACTTCCTGGCTCACGTCTGTGTCCTGTGCAAGCTTGGTGCTTCGGAGTGTGTGTGTGTGTGTGTGTGTGTGTGTGTGTGTGTGTGTGTGCGCACGCGCAGTAAGGGTTGAGCATCTGGGTGAGGAGGTGAGGAAGACTTTAGCTGCTGAGCTGCCACACTGGACCCTGTTTTAAAAAATGTATTTTGAGGGCCCTGCATGGTAGCCTAGTGGTTAAAGTCCTTGCCTTGCGTGCACCAAGATCCCATATGGGCGCCAGTTCATGTCCCGGCGGCCCGCTTCCCATCCAGCTCCCTGCTTGTGGCCTGAGAGAGCAGTTGAGGACGGCCCAAAGCCTTGGGACCCTGCACCCATGTGGGAGATCCAGAAGAAGCTCCAGGCTCCTGGTTCCTGGCTCCTGGCTTCAGATCAGCTCAACTCCAGCTGTTGCAGCCACTTGGGGAGTGAATCAGTGGAAGGAAGATCTTCCTCTGTCTCTCCTCCTCTCTGTATATCTAGTGTTACAATAAAAATAAGTAAATCTTTTAAAAACTGTATTTGAAGGGCAGAGTTCAGGGAGGAGGAGAGAGTGTGGCAGTGGGTGACAGAAGGAGGGGTAACACTTCTATGTGATGACGATTCATTCTCCAAGCGGATGCAATGGCTGGGATGGCGCCAGGCCCCAGCCAGGAGCTGGGAGCTTCAGCTGGATCCCCCACAAGAGTGCAGGGGCTTGGCGCACTTGGACCGTCCTCTGCTGCTTTACTAAGCACATAGTATGGGAGCTGGATTGGGAATGGAACAGCCGGGACTCGAACTGGCACCCATATGGGATGCTGAAGCTTCTGGGGCACAACGTCACTCCCCCAAAGTGCTTCATTAAAATGTACAACAGTTGGGAACGTTTGCTCCTCCCTGCTGGGGAGAAACGCCTGGCTATTCGGCCTGCCCCCAAAGGCCCCGGGGGGCTGGTGGTGCCTGGCAGCCTGGTGCCCTGGGGCTGATGGCCGCAGAGCAGGGCGGTAGTGGGCTCACTGAGCATGGTTCTCTCTGTTGCAGGCTCCCCTGTGGCTTTCTATGCCAGCTCTTCCCAAGGGGCTACTGCCCCACAGATGGTGGCATTTGACGTGGCATCCATCAACTTCGGCGGTGGCTACCTGCCCCAGCATGGCTACTTCGTGGCACCTGAACACGGCATCTACCTGCTGGTGGTGAGCGTTGAATTCGGCCCCGGTCCAGGTACCGGGCTGCTGGTGCCGGGTGGCTCCGGCAGGACCCCAGTCTCCATTGCCAAGCAGAGGGATGATGGAAGCGCTGCCACCACCTCGGCCTTGCTGGAGCTACAGAAGGGCGAGAGAGTGTGGCTCGAGCTGACCCAGGGCTCCGTCACCCCGGGCACCCAGGGCACTACCTTTGGCGGCTTCCTGCTGTTCAGGACTTGAACCACTGTCCTCAGGATTCACCAAGGACCCTGAAGCCGAGGCTGAGGCTGGGGACTGGAGACCCAGGGTCACCCAGCCTAGGGGCGTCCGCGGGTTCCTCGCCTCTCTCTGGGCGGGACTTGGACCTGGGGAAGGGTCCCAGGGGCGGGGCTCAGCACGCCCCAGTGGCTTGGAAAACTCCAATTTTTTTTGACATGCCCTGCATTCCAGAACTTGTGGTGGTGGTGGTGGTGGGGGGGGGGGGTTGTGCTCTCTGGTCCCCTGCTAGCATTCCCATTGGGGAATGCTTTCCAGAGAGGTGGCATTTGGGGACAATAGAGGAAGCTGACCTGCAGCCACCATTAGGCCACTGGCCAGTCCCTGCCGGCCTGAAAGAAAAGCTTGGGCGAGCTCCTCCACCATGGGCAGATACTTGCAAGCTCTTCTCCAGTCTGCCACAGCCCCTGTTAATCTGCCATCTCAAATGTGTTCCTTGCCACTCAGAGTGAAGGGCCAGGCAGCAGGCCAAACAGAAACTCAGCTGAGCCAGGTCTCTGCTTGCTGTCCTGGCCCTAGCCTGGTGCTCCCTAGGGCTTCTGCCAGGGACAGGGGCTGACCAGGACATGCAGGGAGACTGGGACACCCCCTCCGTACTGATCGGCTCTGGAATAAAGCGATGCTCTCCTGGGCTCCGTCTCGTTTCCTTCCAGAGAGCCAAAGTACTTGGTCCAGCAGGCAGGAAGGTGGGATGCAGTGACCTTCCAGGGCACTTGGGGTGTCATAGGTTCGGCCGATCCTGCAGAAAGCCCTCCGTGGCTCCCACCCCCACATCAGCAGGCGTGTTGCTGTAGCCTGGACACCCAGCTTGGAGCTGCAGTGATCGGTCTCAACATTGGAAAGGCACTTGGGAGAGTGAATGAGTGGATGGAAACGTGCTCTCTCAAATACATAACTGTTTAAAAAAATGACAAATCCTGAACAAATAGGGCTGGGAAGGCAGACACCCTGTTTTCAGAATAAGGAACCGTTTTTGGAGCGGGAGATGGGAGGTGATATTTGCTGAGTAGTCTCCGAAGACCATCCGATTGCCATGAGCGCTGACCAGGTTCACCAGCAACCCAGCCGAGTTTCTCTCCCGCAAGGCGCTGTGCACTCCGCGTGCTAATGCTGCCGCTAGCACTTGAGCATGGCTGCCACTCTTCCCCGCGGGCCCAGCCACAGCCCTCTCTCGACTCTGCCTACCTGCAGAGGGCAAGCGGCCAGTCCAACAAGCACTCATTTTCAATGTGCAGGAATTTACTATCTGGACCACAGCTCTCAGATGTCCCAACTCCAACTGCCTGCCCTGACCAAGGACTGTGGGTCGCCAGGAGCCTTGTTGCCAGTGAGCCACACCCTGCTGTGCAGCTTCTCCTGTACAGGCTGGCTACCTTCAGTGGACCATGTCTCCAAGGTCCAGGTTGTACTGTCCCAAGGATGGAAGCAAAGCTTGGTATGAAGTAGCACCTAACTTACTAAAGTGTGACGTGGCAGAAATGGCCGGCGCACTGGCAACCATGAAGAGGCACTTCTAAGTGAACACAGATTTGACACAGTTGGGATCTGGGTGAAATGGAGCCCCTTGGAAGGTTTATGTCCGTCTGGGAGGGGGAGGCCTAGACTGTTCCACATCTCCGCTTTGGGGTCACCATTTTTACAGATAGAAGAAACCTATGTCCTCCATCGTGTGGCATCAGAGCGTAAACTGTTACTCTTCAAGGCCAAAGGGCCCCTGTGTGCCTTCTGTAAGAAGCCACCTCCAAACGTACCTTACGAGCCACCTACCAGCACCAGCTCTGATGACGGTGTCGCACATCCAGTGCTCTAGGGGAAAGCATGGGTCGGGAGGCACACGGCAACACCTCAGGCCTGTGGCTCCCCATCTTGAACAAGCCCGGCATCTTCTAAAAGGTGCCTTCCACTAGTCTTAGTTTTAGGATCAGCTAAGAATTTTGTGCAAGCATGGCCAGTAATATTGGTTATATTTTCCAAAACAAACCAAACATCCAACAGGGGCTCCATTACAGAACAAATGCTCCCATCTACTTGGTGGAATACCATGAAGCCACTATTAACGCCCGTGAAGCATATTCAATGCATACTGTTATCTTTTGCACTGTGTCTAGTGGTAAAGTCCGGAAGTCTGACAGGATTTGGCTCTGCGGGCCTTGGTTTCCCCACATTTCTGCCCTGAGCGTCCCCCTCCGCCACCAGAGAGCATGCCGAGTTTTGAAGGAAAACTGCTTTTGCCGCTGTAGGTACGTGACGGCCATGTGCACAGGCCGGTGGCCGCAGCACGCACTAACTCGTCGCAGAATCTCACCACACCCTGGCTTCTGCTCCACAGCCCAAACCAGCACGGCACCACAGAACACATCACTAAGTATACTAAAATAAGGTTATTTACTTAAAAATGATACATTGGACATAATCTGTATATAGAACAAAGCAATTAATGGTAAACTTAATAAGGCACCTTTCAGACCAGATGCTGTACAAAATACATTTAGTGTGTTACATATCAAAGATGAGTCTCTTGGTTTTGGTGTTTTACAATTGCATAATAAAATTGCTCATTTTTACCCTTTCAATATCTATGTACAGTTTCCCTAATTAGGCTATAATGATATCTTTACTTTATACAGTATATACTACATTTTCATTTTTAAATGGAAAGCACAAAGGTCACTCTAAGGGATTAAATAATTCCACTTGAAAGCATAGGACAGAGCATGGGTGCAGCGAGCTAACCCTTGCGGAAGCCGGACGCACGCTTCCCCGTGGGACGGCCGCGACACGAGGCTGCCGGTGGTGCCCAGGGACATCTGCTCCTTCGGGCAGGACTCCCCTCTGTGGTTTCCATGGCGACCCCCAAGACAGCGCGAGTCAAGGATGTGACGATTTTAACATCTGACCTGAGTTGTTTGTGAACACTGCCACTGTTTTCAACAATACAAGAGCTGCAACTCTTCTTTCTGTGCCTGAAAATGTCTTAGATGTTTAGATATAATTCAAAACAATATGTTTGAGAAGAAATGCCTTGTAACGTTAAAAAAAAAATCCACCTTGGAATAAATTATTTAGTATCAGATTTGATCTTGGGGGTTCCCTCGAGATGCCAGATTCTTTGAGAACCGTGCTGGCTTCGTCCTCTAACTGTGGCAGCTGAAAAGCAAGGCCTCGAGTCTCCGTGCAGCGTGGCTCGGGCAGCCGGCTGGCATGCTGCAGGGCAACGGGATCCTCAGGTCACAAGGAAAGGCCACCTGCCACATTTATCAACACTTGCGGACACATGAAGAGGCCGACTCCACCTTATGCCTCAGAAACAGAAGCAAATCCCAACGCACCTTTCCTCCTGGAGCTGTGCAGCAGTAGAAAGAAAACTCACCAAGGCTCTCTGTTTTCACAATCAGGTAGGTTAGGTTTTTGTTTTTATGTTTAAATTACTGAATGGGATGGCTGGCTGAAGGCAGGCATTTGTAAAATGCCGACTTTGGAACTTTGTGGGTTTTATAAATTCGTAGCAGTGGTAGAGGCAGTGTTTCCTGTTACTGGCTGACAGGTTCTTTCATTTTACTAGGTGAACTTCAAATTCAAGAGTAAGATGGGGACAAAGTAGTAAGCTTCATGTAATTTTCTTTTTAGATTTCAGGATCTCAAATCTGGTGGCTGGTAGCCTAGGAAACGTGTTTTATCAAGAAGCAGGTTCTTCAGGGAGTTCCTGGAATCGCCCTCACCAGTCCCAGTGGGCTCATTCCACAGTCATCTCATCTACTCTGCCAGGTTTTTCATTTCTAAGAATAAAGTCTGCCTTTCAGAAGTAAATTTGCTATACTAAGATGACCAAGATTTTTAGTTCATCAAGTAAAAAATGAATCAAGATGAATTTAGACTAAGTTAATGAGATCTAAGTGTTTCAAACCACAGGGCAATTTTGAGTCAGATACACTTCTTGATATGCAGACGGGGACTGTATGTAAAAGGTAAGTTATCTGGTATTCTCAAATGCACACTGACTTCTGTGCACAGACACTTCAGACTCGGATGCATCTTAGATGAAACACAGTGAGCAACCCAAACACTTAAGGCAAGTTTCCAATTTGTGAAATGTGATGTGTAGGTAGATAAAATGTGTGAGTTTTAGCCTTAAAAGACAGCCAGGTTTTTTGATAATTTAAGCACATATGCTGTGAACTGCCTCTGTTTAATTTACACCTTTCTGACCATGTGGGATTAGTGAGATTACATCATACCACATGCCAAAGAAACCATCTCACAGGATGCCCTCACGAGCTGTGTGTCTGGACCAGGAGCTGGCCAGCACAGGTGGCACGGGCAGCTTGGCGGCATCCCTAGAGACAGCTTCTACACATGGTACCGACGAAGTGACAGCTGTGCAGTGCAGTCACACACTGTAACGGGACATGGAGCCCTTGTCCCAACTCTTCACAAGTCGGGGAACGAAAGTCAGGAAGTCTCAAATCCCACTGGACTCGACAGCTACCCACAGACTTCCGTCGGCTCCAACACCCCAGTTTCTAATGGGGGACTCCTTTCATAAAGGAATACTGAGATCTTGACACAGCTCTGCCAGGAGCAAACAAGCCCAGCCACACTTCCTGGTCGCAGCTACATTCACTCTGCACATCCCCCCTGCAGTTCTGCTGGCTCAGGTGCCTACCCTGCCGGTGGGCCGGTTTCCGCAGTATGAAGGGACACGCGAGAGATGGGGTGGGCTGTCAAGGAGCAGGTGTTCTGCAGGCAAAGCACATTACACACAAAACAAATAACTTCCCTTTTAAAAGTGGCTGAGGACGAGGAGCACAGAAGGCACTGGCACCACAGCAACCAGGCTTTCTGCGCAGGCATGGCTGTGTGAGCATGGCTTGTGGCCCTGGAAGCTCCAGCTTCAGACAGGGTGCTTCTCCTGGCAAAACACCCCCCAGAACCACAAAGATGGTGACGGGAGGAAAACAGTCCCAGTGCCCCGGCACTTGAGACTTTGGTCTTCACACCAACGCTGACGCCAGCGGGTGATGTGAGTGGGGGGTGATGCGCCCCACTTCTTGGGAGGAGGGTGCCTCTTGGTTATAGCACAAAGCCACCAGCCGCCAATGTCTCCCTGTGCACGAGGGTATTACGCTCTTCTAGCTCCCAAGGCAGTTCCTATTCCCTCGGTGATCCAGGCAGGCATGACACACTGCCACAGCCCCAGGAGGGTCTCCCAGCTGCTGTCATGTCAAGGCTGCTACCCAGAGGTGAGTGTGCCGGACAGGCTAAGCGTCCTCCAAGAGAAGGCAAAGCGTGGTTCTCCATCTCGGCTGAATTCTCTTCTTAGGCTTTCACGGAAAGCACCACCTAGTGAACAGTGTCTCACAGGAGACTCGTGAATCAGGACTGAAGTCTTGATGTCCATAGAAACCCAATTAAAAAAAAACAAAGGCATCAAATACCACAATGAAAACACAGCTGTCCATATATAAAGAATGAAGTGTCTACAAGCTCTCCGCTTGTATTCTAGAATACAGAAGGACGTGACAGTAGCAGCCTGGGAAGGCGTGGTGTGGGCATGGCCTTGTCCCACGCGGCTCCAGCGATCCCGGGTTGGGCGCAGCCCCCTGCGGTGCAGGCCTGGCCTCTGCACTGCTCACAGTGCTCAGATCTTCACATCCTGTGACTCGACCATCTTGGCAAGTGTCTTCTTGATCCTCAGTGCTGTGAGCCTGGAGGCAGGGTTGTGGGCCCAGCATTCTGACATGAGCTTCAGAACGGCCCGCAGACACTGAAAGCAGAGAGAATGCAGTGAGCAGAGAGGACCCTTGTCACCACGCCCGTCAGCTTTCCTAGGAAGCAAGCTGCACTCACTTCGTCGCTGTTCCACCGGTTTGACACAATGGGCCGCAACCTCTTGACGCACACGACCTCACGCATATCCTCATATGATGGGTCACTGGGCACCATGTTATAATATGGCAGCTGGTACTCTTCGACTATCCCTGCAGGCAGAGGGAGACACGTTGGGCACACAGACAGGAGCTGGGCCACAGCAGCCTGCTCAGCAGCCCACACTGAGCCACGGGCCTGCAGAGTCCCACCCAAGGAACACAGGCAGGGTCTGCAGGCTTCACTTTTCACAGCGAGTGTATGTTGTTCCTCATGAATGCTCACCGCTTCCTCTCCTCCCCTCAGGCCCACCCAAAGCATGTGATTTAAAACTAAGGGCATCCACCTATGCTACACCATGCCCTGGTAAATGGTGCTGTTCGGCAGCATGGCTGTCCTCCAAATGAACATGTTTCCTGCTCTGACTTGGCTCTACCCTGCAGACAAGAGCCAGCCGTACACCGTGCTTCCCACAAAGGCCTGCTCCAGGCTCGAGTCTGCGAGCTTGAAGGGAAATGGTGTCCCACGTGGACATACAGTGCAGACGTGTGCTGCTCTGACATGGTGTGGACATGCCTGACACCTGCCCTCCCTTCGCCAGGCGTGTGGAGCGGCCAGCTTCCAGTGAGCTCCCTGGAGGACAGCACGTGGCGCGTCAGCACAGCTCATGGTGCAGCAGCCCGGGGGCCTCACGGGCCTTCTCTGATCTCTGCCCCAGCCCTGTGCCCTGTGCCCTGTGCTGTTGCTGGTGAACTCCCAGCAGGGCACATGGACCAGTGTGTAGCTCTGAGGACCTCTGACATCTGAACTCCACACCAGCAGCTGCAGAAGATGGGTAAATGAACACAGCCAGAACACACTATTCCAGCACCTACCTCCTGTGACACAACGGCGCGCCATTTCCCAAATGATGAGGCCGAAGCTGTAGATGTCGGCCATGATGTAAGGCTGGAAGTGGTTCTTGTTCAGGCTCTCGTCCAGCACCTCGGGAGCCATGTAGCGTTTGGTGCCTACCCTGGTATTTAAGGGGACGTCAACTTCATTCGTATCACTGCAACAAAAGACAAAGTCCAGATTGACAACAAAATCACATCTCGTGCTTGTCACGTAAGTTTCTCCCGCTTCCTGTGACAGCCGAGAAGCACTCTGAAGTGGCCGTGGCGAGTGGGTGTGTTTCTTCCCTGCTGACCCCTGCTTTGTGCAGCGACAACAGGCAGTGGACAGGAATCCTACGGATTCATCACAAACTATTTGTACGGCTGTACTGCATTTTATGGCTAACACATAGTGACACCTGTAACATTTTAATAGGAGACATACAGTGCAGGCCACTGTGGTGCCCAACAGTTGCATCATGGAAACCTCTGCACCTGTTAGAAACCATGAGGAAGATCTACAGGAACATCCTTCCTGGAAGGACATGTGATAGAAAGCAGAAAATCAAAAACTATACACACTAGACTATGATTACTGTAAAAAAAAAAAAAACCCTCCCAAACCCCAACTACGTACATCTATAATTAAATAATGAGTCTTTACACATTTTTTTCAGAATTCCAATGTCCTCAAGACAAACAGGTAAATACCTCGTGGAGGTTACACGAATTTCAACATGGCTGGGCAAAGTACCACACACCTGTTGAATTTGACAGCGAGGCCCAGGTCAGCAATACAACAGCTCCCATTTTTCTTGATGAGGATGTTTTTGCTCTTCAGGTCACGATGGGCAATGGCAGGCTTTCCTTGGGTGCCATAAATCTCTGTGTGCAGGTGGCACAGGCCGCAGGCAGCCGAGTAAGCCAACTTGAGCAGCGCTCTGGTGTCCAGGGTAGCACACTTCAGGAAGTCGTAGAGGGAGCCATTCTCGTGGTAGTCGGTGATCAGGTAGAGCTGAGTCCAGGAGCCTGTACCTTTAATGTCCGCTGCTATGAAACCTGTCCAGTTAACCAATTTTCAACGTTAGTTGTCGTCAGAGACGGCTGGGAAGAGAGTGGCTGCGTATCTGGAGTACCGAGGGTGAGTGACTAAGGTACCAGGTACAAAAATGCAGTCTGTCTAACAAAAACTCCCGGATACGTGACCACATCCTTGTATCTTTCTATCTGTCCGTGCAGAGCAGTAAGTTTACAAATCCCAATGAGCATCAAAGAATAAATCCACATGAAACACTAATCTGGGGAACGTTACCAATCTACTATGGTTCCTAGCAGAAAGAACTCTTAGTTCCAAATCAAAAAGTGGATTCTATCATAAAGGCAAAACTGCTAACCAGAGGGAGTGCCTATGTATGCTGCCCCATTTCCCCCTTATCTGCCCTCCCCTACTGGTAACTGGCCGAGCCACACTGCCTCCTGAGGGAGGCTGGGGAGTGTGGCACTAGGCCGACTGGCCTCTCCCCGTGGATTCAGGTCCCTAGGAACCGGCAGAAGTGACACTTGCTCTGAGAAATTGGACCTCTGCAAAAGCCACGGAGTTAAGTTGCAATCATCCAGGATTAGAGTGAGGCCTCGTCTGGACTGGGCCTGCTCAGGTGCGAATGCAGAGCCAGGTTGCCAGGGAGCAGGCCAAGGCAGCAGATACAGCGTCGGCAGCTGTCTGGGGTTACGCACCAGCAGACTGCTGGCAACTGCTAGGAGCCCACAAGAGGCTACAAAGGATCACCCTGTGGGACCTGCAGAGAGCGCACAGCCCTGCTGAGACTCTGGTTTTAAGCAAGTTGGTGGCAGCTGGTTAACAGCCTCCCCAGGGTCTGTTACATGCTTGCTGGACACTCTCCAAATGAAAGGTGGTATCTCCTGTCAAACACAGGGGAGCAGCATCAGCCTGGGCAGGCCACAGATCGACCATGCTTGCTCACCCTGCCGTGTGCACGGGGTAGGAGGACACATACTCAACACAGAACATGCAGGGAGGGCTGCTGAGCTGACCTGGGTAGAGGCTATGTAGGAATGACCTGTCTTCCACTGCTATATAAACCAGAGCACGAAGTCACCGTTCCCTCCCACTCAGCACTGCCCCGGGCCTCGTCAGTCGGGCAGTGCATCTGGTGACTAGCACGCAGGACTGTGCTGCATGCAGGCTGTGCCTCAGCCACGGGTACGCAGCTAGATTCACCGTGCTCCTGCTTCTCCCAGCACCCTGCCAACCTGGCCGGAGCACGGGGTGTACGCACCGAGTATGTTCTCATGGCGCATCAGCACTGTTTGGTAGATTTCTGTTTCTCGGAACCAGCTGGCTTCTTCCGTGGTGAAAAACACCTTGACTGCTACTTTCTCTCCACGCCATTTACCCATCCACACCTCTCCGTACCGGCCCTTACCAACTTGCCGCACCATCTGAATCTGTTTGGCAATGGTTCGTTGAACCTTCACAAAAAGAAGAGAGAGGTTTTCAGCCCTCCACGAGGAGACTAACACAGGGGTCTGATGGCCCACCCCATCGAAAAGCACAGCGTAGCCCAGCGATCCACTATCCTGTTGGAGTGGTAACATGCCCCAGTGACTGGATGGCACGAGTGTGCTGCTTGCTGCTGAAGCTGCCATGTTACAGTAACCCTCCTGCTCACAGCCAGGGCAGCCCTGGGGCTTGCACTGCAGGCTTGCCCTTCCTGTTCCTTCTGGGGACTCTGTGATGGGGGGATAGCACCACGCAAACTGTGTCACACATATGAAGAACATCACCCAGCTCTAGCCGAGCAAGTCCAGCAGAGCCACGATTGTGACAGGTGATAAATGCTTGGCTGCTTCAAAGCTGCTAAGTACTAGAATGGTATGTAGCTTACGCAATCAAATCTAAACCAAAGTTACGTCTATACAGTCCTATGTGACGTGGCCCAGTCCCATCATCTGCTAAGGTCACCCGCTGGGAGTCCTCCTGTTTGCCTTGTTCCACCTGCTGCACATCCCTCAGGGCCACTCCTGCTTTGGGCCTATCTCATGTGTCCAGCGCTCCGCGACCGCTTTGCTCCCACTTACGCCCACAAACACGCTCTGGCTGGGCCTTATGATCCTGATTTTCACATGTATCTGCTTGAATTCCATCCCCTGCTCATAGAACACGAGTATTTGTTTGGGACAACACCTCAAGTATAATCAGCAGTATAATCAGTATTTGTTAAATGAGGGATGTACACTGATTGTCACCTTTCATTTTCAGAAGTGTCTGTGATCAGCAAAGAACACCAAGTTTCAGGGTAGAAAGGAACCTAAAATATTGACTGCATTTTATCCCAACCTAAACTGACGTATCTATGCATCATTCAATACAGAATCCCGCAGCTTTTAAAGTCAGGTTAATTGAGGCATCCTTTTCATATACTAAAATGTATCCTTTCTGAAGACAGCTCAGTGAGGTTTTGACAAGTAGACTCCACATTGTTATTAAGATGTAGAACAGCACTTGTCCTCAGCCCCGGTCTCTCTGATATTCTTCCTGCCCCATTCCCATTTCACTTCTTCCAGAATCATGTGAACAGGGTTGGCACAGTAGCCTAGTGGCTGAAGTCCTTGCCTTAAACGTGCTGGGATCCCATATGGGCACCAGTTCTAATCCCAGCAGCCCCACTTCCCATCCAGCTCCCTGCTTGTGGCCTGGGAAAGTAGCGGAGGATGGCCCAAAGCCTTGAGACCCTGCTCCCATGTGGGAGACCTGGAAGAGGCTCTGGGCTCCTGGCTTCAGATTAGCTCAGCTCTGGCTATTGCAGCTACTTGCGGAGTGAATCAGTGGATAGAAGATCTTGCTGTCTCTCTTCTCTGCACATCTGACTTTCCAATAAAAAATAAATAAATCTTTTTTTTTTAAATCATGTAAACAGAAGCCCACAATGCTGAGCTTTCTGGGTGTGGCTACTCTGCTCAGTGCGAGGGGCCCCAGAAAGTCCCTGTGATTTGGCAGGTGGCGGCAGCCGGCTCCTCTTTACCAATGAAGCATGTTCTCCTGTCTAACCATACACTTCACTAGTTTGTGCGCCAACTGGTAACGCTGGGGTTGTTTCCCATTCATGAGACCATTTCAAAAAGTTTGTGGAAAAAGAGTTACAAGGTAAGTTTATTAGGCTGCAAAAAATTTTAACATTCGTGTGCAACGTTTTTGTAATAAACATTTTCCATGGACCTTCTGAACACATCCGTGTACACACACTTGAATTTTTCTGCACTACAACAGGTCCTCTAACTCTGCCTCCACAAACTTTCTGGCTCTGTGTCTGGCTGCTGATGTGACACTGAGAGCACGAGAGCTGCTCCCGGCAGCTCCTGGAGGGGGCTGTCAGGTGTGGAAGTGGGGAGCCTGCTCCGAGCAGGATGTGCACACTGTCACTCCTGAGGCTCAGCAAGGCAGCAGCTCACACCAAAACGCGAGCAAACTGCTCGCACTTCAAGCAGAAACTTCCCTGTGTTAACTTCCATCTCCCGACCCCTCCCCGAAGCAGCTGCACACCTGCTCAGAGGAAACCCCGGGAGCCACCACTCGGCTCCTGCAGGCCTCGGGACCATCTCTAAGGATTCTTAACCTTCCTTTATTCATTTCGTATTTCTCCCTTCCACTATTCAATCTTGCATCACTGTATACTTCTTTCCAAATAAGGAGGAAAGTGTGGCTGACATTTTCCTACACTCTGAGTTAATGAAATTGCCCACAGACCCCCGACTGCCAAATTCTGTCAACACCCCCCGCCCCCTGCTTACACGGAACCTTAACTCACCAACAAAGGCAGGCCAGATCCACTGCCGGAACTCTGTGACTGGTCAATCAGGTCCTTCAATGACTCGCCCACTGGAATAAAGGCTTCATCCTGTTCCAAGTCACGGTTATAGCGCCGCCTGCTGGAGATGCTCTTACAGTAATGTCTTAAAAAAAAGCAGAAAAAGGTGTTAGATTCTAAAACTACAGAATCCTCTCTACACCATCCTTCCTATAGACAGAATCCTATCCAAATGAGCCTTACTAAATAGCAATATGTCCTGTTACGGCAGAATTTACACAGTGGATTTCTGTCTATCAAGTTAAAATGGCAGACATTATGACTGACAAGTGAAAAAAGCACAATGTGGAGTGTTTTTCTAGCTGTAAACATTTTTTGAAATTTAAAATATCTCAGGGGCCCGGTGCAATACCATAGTGGTTAAAGTCCTCGCCTTGCATGCTGGGATCCCATACGGTTGCCAATTCTAATCCCAGCAGCCCCACTTCCCATCCAGCTCCCTGCTTGAGGCCTGGGAAAGCAGTCCAGGATGGCCCAAAGCCTTGGGACCCTGCACCCGCGTGGGAGATCCGGAAGAAGCTCCAGGCTCCTGCCTTTGGACTCGCTCAGCTCCAGCCGTTGAGGCCACCTGGGGAGTAAATCAGTGGAAAGAAGATCTTTCTCTCTGTCTCTCCCTCATCTCTGTACATCTGACTTTCCAATAAAATTAATTTTAAAAAATTTAAAATATTTTCACATATACCTCAAAAGACCAGAAAGGAATACAGTTTTGGAATATTCACTTTCACACACATGGATGTTAAGCATCTTCAGCACCGTCTTATGTGATTTCATACTATATTTTTCTGTAAACAAGACATCTAATTCCATTTTGGAAAATGGGAAATGATTTTGTAAAAAAAGAGCTCACAATATTGTCTTAATTCACTCTGATATTTTTAAAGGCCTTTAAATGATAAACTATTTCAGACACACAGGAAGATAAAGACTCATACTCCTGACACTCTAGTGCAGACCATTTAAGTTTAATGCACATTCATATTTATATGTATCTATCTGTTTTTGAGAAAGAGAGAGGGAGGGACAAGCCCTGAGTAGGGAAGCTCCCATCTTCTGGTCTATGTCCCCAGGTGCCTGCAATGGCTCCTGCTTGGGACGGAGCCGAGAGCTGGGCACTCAATCCAGCTTCCCACGTGGATGGCAGGCAGCCACATGGCACCATCCCTCAGCTTGCCAAGGTCTACATCAGCAAGAGGATGGGCACCAAAGCCAGGCACTCGACTGTGCGACACTGCACGTTAACCACTAGGCCAACACTCACCCCTGATTTTTAACTGGAGTACAATAGTTGTGCATTTACAGGGTACAGTATGATCATTTTCTTGGACTTGCTTCATGCTTTCTGAAGCTTTAAGAGGTTAAGTACTACTGCTACATTTTACAAATTAAACCATGGCCAGGCTATCCCTCACGGCTGCAGGTCAGACACTTGCCAATGCGGTGAAGCTGGGCGTGGGCTGGGCGTGCCATCATCATTCCATCAAGGCAGTGGCGTAGAAGTTATCCTGACAGCTTTCGTTATTTCCAGAAGTATGTCAGTGCATGTGGTGCCATGATATAGAGTATTTCACAGACAGCATCATCACAGTATTTTCCAAAGTGGAGTAATCTATACTTTCCCCCAAGGACAGTGCTACCAGCCCCACTGTCCCATGAGCCAGCAGGCGCTAACCCTGCGTAGCTTCTGGCCTCTGGCCAGCTGACGAGCCTCCCTTCACTGTGCTTTTCCCCCAGTCGCTGCTGAGCCTCGCTACTTTCCCCCTCAGTTCAGTTTTTTAAAAATTTTATTAACAAACTATTTGTGTCTTTAGCATGTTATACAACTGAAGCATTTTTAACTCTTTTTGTTTTAAAATGTATTCTTTATTTTTACTTGAAAAGGGTACTTTACAGAGACTTAGAAAGATCTTCCATCCACTGGTTCACTACCCAAAATGGCTGCAATGGTTGAAATGGTTGAAACCAAACTGATCCAAAGCGAGGCGTTTTCTTCTGGGCCGTCCTCTGACTTTCCCCAGGCCATAAGCAGGCAGCTGGACCAGAAGTGGAACAGAAAGGACACAAACCGATACCCATATGGGATGATGGTGTTTGCAGGTGGAGGCTTAGCTTGTTGAGCCACTGCACCAGCCCCAGTTTTATCCTTTTATAATTATTTTTTAAATTATTTATTTTGGCTAGGCTGGCGCAGTAGCCCAGCGGCTAAAGTCCTCACCTTGCCAGGATCCCATAAGGGCGCTGGTTTGAATCCCAGCAGCCCTGCTTCCCATCCAGCTCCTGCTTGTGGCCTGGGAAAGAAGTCAAGGACGGTCCAAAGCCTTGGTACCCTGCACCTACATGGGAGATCCAGAGGTGGCTCCAGGCTCCCAGAAGAGGCTCCAAGATTGCCACAGCTCCAGCTGTTGTGGCCATTTTGGGAGTGAATCAATGGATGGACGATATCTCTCTCTCCTCCTCTCTGTATATCTGACTTTCCAATAAAAATAAATATGTCTTAAAAGAAAGAACGTATTTCTTTGAGAGGCCAGCACTGAGGTATATCGAGGCTAACCCTCTACCTAGCGCACTGGCACTTCGTATGGGTGCTGGTTCATGCCCTGGCTGTTCCTCTTTCAGTGTACTCCCTATCAGTGGCCTGGGAAAGTGGTGAAGGATGGCCCAGGTTGGTTCTCTGCACCGACCTGGGAGATCCAGCGGAACGCTCATGGCATTGGACGGGCCCAGCTCTGGCTATTGCAGCCATTTTGGAAGTGAACCAGCAAATGAAAGATCTTTTTCTCTCTGTTAATTCTCCCTTTGAAGTAAAGATGAATACTTATTTTTTTCTCAAAATTTAATAAATCTTGGGCTCAGCGTGTTAGCCTAATGGCTAAAGCCCTCGTCTTGAATGCACAGGGAACCCATATGGGGCACTGGTTCTAACCCTGGCAGCCCCACTTCCCATCCAGCTCCCTGCTTGTGGTCTGGAAAAGCAGTCAAAGACAGCCCAGAGCCTTGGGACCCTGCACCCACGTGGGAGACCTAGAAGAGGCTCCAGGCTCCTGGCTTCGGATCAGCTTAGCTCTAGCCGTTGCAGCCATTTAGAGTGAATCAGTGGATGGAAGATCTTCCTCTCTGTTTATCTGACTTTCCAATAAAAATAAATAAATCTAAAAAAATTAATAAATACTAAAAAAAAAATCATTTTTGAAAGGGAGAGGGCCTGGCATGCCATCCAGGTTTCCCATGTGGGTACAGAGGCCCAAGACCTTGGCCCTCCACCACTGCTTTCCCAGGCACGGGAGGGAACTGGATCGGAGTGGAGCAGCTGGGCTCCAGCATCCCAGCGGTGGCCTAACCCTATGTGCCACAGTGCCACCCTGTCCTTTTCCTATTTCAGGGTACTCCACTTTTGATGGGCATTACAGCCACCCTGCAGTGTGCCAGCCAGGGCTCTGTCCTACAGTGTGACTGTAGGGACAGGCAGGACAGTCAGCCCATCTTCATTTTGATATGTGCTTCTGTGCCTTTAGAAAACCCTCCGTCTCAAGGTTCTAAATTTCTGAGTTGTTTTTTTTTCCCAGTTAACTCTTTTATAACATAAACTGGAAACCAGTGAAAAACCAAATCACACTCACTTGTATGTGGACAGCTGGATCCACTTAATCACATAATCACATTTGTAATTTAGTTTTTACACGGGCAATTACCTGAAGTATTTTAGATTCAAAGGCACAAAAGGACACAGTGTGAAACCTCTTGCTGCTATCTCCATCCGCACTGTGAGTGTGCTTCTCAGGTGAGCTCCTGGCGCCATCTGTGCATCTTCCCATACAAATACACAAGCTACTGCTCACCTCCCCAACGCCTGCCAGCCACGGGTGGGATAAGCTCCCGGCCACCCTTGCCCCAGTGAGGTGTAGGCTGGCTCTGCTTCGACTACACCCAAGTCTGAAATGGGAACAGCTTCTGGCACGGCTATAGTATAATTACCAGGAGCTAAATCTGGTATTTGGAAGAACACTCTGCTGGCTTGCACCCAGACAGAAGCAGTGACGCTCCCTCCAGCGTCACAGGAAAGGGACCATTTTCCCTTTGTCTTCATCTGCACCCTTGTGTTACAACACTTCTAGAAGCTGGTTTTTAACGTCATCAGAATTTAGAGTTTTGTATTTTATATTTATAGAACTTGGTTCCACAACCACCTCTGTCAGGGAGCTCTTTGTGGCTCAGTGGCAACACACACCCTCTGGGTCCTCTCTCCTCATTCTGCCCTTCTCAGAACTCAGAGCTGCAGCCTTCTGAAGCTAACAAGACAGGTGACTGCTCACCACCAGACTCCATGGCATCTTTCCTTTTCCAGTCTTGGGCTTTTCGAACTGATCTCACACCGTGGAGGAATATTAATCCACCACTTAGTAGCCCTGCACCTCCCAACTAGTCACACAACGCCCTTGGGGCTCCAGCGGCCACATCAAAGCACCTTCAGCCCTGGCTGCTCCACTTCTGACCCAGGTTCCTGTCAACGCACCTGGCAAAGCAGCAGCACATGACCCAAGTACATGGGAGACCAGGACTGAGTTTCAAACTCTTGGCCCAACCTGGTTATTTGGAGTGAATCAGCAGATGGAAGAGGTTTTTGAGGTTTTTCTTTTTTCCTTCTTCTCTTTTTGTCACCCTGCCTTTCAAACATATATCTTTTTTTTTTTTTAAAGTAAGTTCTTCAGGCAGAAGAAATATAGTATAAGACAAAACTTGGTGCTAAAGCCTAGAATTAAGTAAACTACTTGCAAAGCGCTGAAAATAACAGAAATACACCCACGTACACACATGATATTCTTTCTTGGTTTTAGTAATTCTAAATGCTGACTGGCAGCTACTGATTTGGGTGTACAATAAGTGCTTCTTTCTTATTAAATGAAAGACTAATTTTTGTATCACTCATTTTATAGTTAACTATCATGGGATTAGAAAAAAAGTACCCAATATGCCAGAGAGGTTAATGGACCCATGATTAAGCCAGAAGTGGGCTTTGGAAAATTGTCGTCCATTTATTTGAGAGGCTGAGAGAACAAACAACTAAGCAAGACAGAGCTCTCCCGTAGATGGGGGCCTGGCACCCTGGTCTCCCACTTGATGGCAGAGATGTGACTGCATAAACGATCGCCTGTTAACTCCCCAGGTACGTGTCAGAAACAAGCGGACCTGGAGACAGTCCTGAATGTCCACATGGGATGCAAGGGTCCCAGCCTGGTGTCTCAACCACCAGGCTAAATATCAGCCGCAAGTGGGCTTTCTATCTGGCAAGTTATCAGTGACACTGTTTCTGAGGCAGGTGTTCTGGCCAAGGTGTGGCTGATAAATAGCAATATTTACTGAGTACCAAGCACACGCCAAGCATGAAGGACACACTGATCTACAGTGTTCATCCTTAGTAACTCAAGGGGAAGTGGCAACTGGAACTGCTGGCAAGCTAATCATCAAGATTACTAGGCCAGTAATCTCACCATGTTCAATGGCAAAGGCAGATGTTAAGCGAACAACCACGGTCACTAAATGCAGACTTGAAATATGGAAAGTAGAGGATGAAAGAGTAGTGTTACTGAAGGTGCATGACCAGTGTCAGTCTAAGGGCTGGAGAATTTACAGAAGCAGATGAAGAATTCCAGGCCAGAGAAGACAAGGAGCTGTGAAACAGTGGAGAAAGGACACCCTCCCTAGAACGGAGAGGTATGCTCAGCGAGCAGGTACGCTCGAGTTCTGGAGCAGTCAGTGCTCAGGAATGTGAATGATTCAAGAGAGCACTTGCAAATCTATTTAGATCCGAGCAAAAGTAACCAGTAAAAAGTGCAGCTGCGAGCCCAGCATGAACTCAGGCTCTGCTGTTGCTTGGGTGGCAGCCAGGCTACCTGCAGAGGCTGGGCCCACCTGGGAGAGCCGCTTGCCAGGACTGGCTTCCGAGGCTGAGAGGTTGTAGGCTTCCTGTTGGCAGGAGCTGCTAGTCCTTGTGTGTGAGCCTCTGCAGGGCTGATGGTGGGTCCTCCCAGCCTGAGACATCTGTTTTCTCTTCCTACAAATATCTGTGTCTGTTCTAGGGTACAGTTATTTGGAAACATGGGTCCCTGGGTTCTTTTGGGGACGGGATCAAGCCATGTGTAGTGTGATGTTCACTCTCCCGCTCACTGAGGCAAGGCCCTTCTGTGAACTATGCAGGCTTTAAGTGTCCGCCGGGAGGAGGCAGACAGCATTCCCAACCTGCTGTGAGCTTCCACACACTTTTCTGCAGTCTCTGCAAGGGTTCTTTCTCCAACCTTGGCAATTTCCACACATGCCTGTGCTCGGCAGTGTCCAGCTGAGCCCTGGATGGGAATCGTTCAGCGAGGTTCTCTTCTCTAGCACTCCATCCTTGTAAGCTAGACAGCTGGGTTGTCTCTCACACTCAAGACCACCCCCATGTGTCCTGCGGCCAGAAACTACTTCCGGCAGTAAAGGGGGCAGCCCTAAGGCTCATTTCATTTGCTTCGTGGCACCCAGAGATCAGGGTATTCTACTGTTACCCTGACTGTCATCTGACAGTGGATTATAGTTTTATTGTAGGATAATCTTCCTGGCCATTGCCCAAGGTCCTAATGGCAGATCTCATTCCATCTGCTGTCAGAGCACACACCTGCTGACCGTGCTGCAGCGGGCAGCAGAGGGAGGTTCCCATCACCAATGTGCAAATCTTCACTTTCCCTTCTTGTTTTCACCTTTGTGGAATCTAAAATATGCTACCAGGAAATATGTCATTACGCTTTTAGCCTTTGGTTAAGGAGGCAGGCAGGCAGTCATAGGACTAGCCAGGGTGGTGGGCAGAGCCCCCATCGATGGGGTTAGCAACCCAAATAGCCCATAGTGAGCCTCACTTCGTGATATTTTGCTGTCTAGCCCCATTGCCACAAGACGCTACCTGCTGTCTTTTTGGAGAGGCTCATTAATACGACACTCACTAGAGGTCTTTACTGTCTTCCTGTTACCTCTCACTTCACTTCCAGAGTTAACCCCAGCTGCCAGCCCCCAAGCGTCTGGGCAGTGGGCAGCAAGAACAGATAGCTTCTGAGCTTTCTCCGTTTAGAGTCTAGGACTCACATATGTTTGGGTGGAGTAAATCACTGACTAGTCATCCACTTGCTTCACGGGCTTGAAACTTTCATTTTATCTCCTGTAGTCTTTGTATCAGCCAAATAAGTTTATAAAAACTCTAAATTGTTGTTTCAGGGACAGTAACATAATTTCAAAAATCTCTTGTCAAACATGAAGCCTTATCAGTACATGACAAGTGAGAAAAGCTAATTTATGCTTTGGATATTATGAATGTTCAGTATGCTTTCAGTTTTCAATTAAACACTAAGTGTAGGAGCCTGTGCAGCGGCATAGCAGGCTAATTCTCCACTGTGCAGCTGCACCCCACATGAGCACTGGTCCATGCTGTGGCTGCTCCACTTGATCCAGCTCCCAGCCTGTGGCCCAGGCAGAGAGTGGAGAATGGCCCAAGGCTTTCGGATCCTGCGCCTGCATGGGAGACCTGGAGGAAGCTTCTAGCTCCTGGCTTTGGATCAGCTCAGCTCTGGCCATTGTGGCCATTTGGGGAGTGAACCAGGAGATGGAAGATTTCTGTCAACTCCTCTTTCTTTCATGTAAAATAAATCTTATTGTGAGACTCAAACCCTGAGATTATTTTAAAAAATATTTCATTGTTTTTTTCCCCTAGTACTTCAATGATTACATTTGTAAAATATACAGCTCTAATCAGGTTAAAATTTCCTTTAGTGTAGACAACAGGTTAAACCTCATCTTTTTCACGCAGCTGCCTAGTTCCAAATCCACTTACTAAATAATCCGCCTTTTCATGTATGATCTGAAGTGTGACCTCTATCATGCTAAATTTCTGTATGCACTCAGGTCTGTTTCTGGGTTTCGGAACCTGTCCCACAGATCCCTGTATTATCCAGGCATGACAACAGCTCATTATCAAGATTTCTAGTGGGAGGGACTGTCTTGCATTTTTTTTCTGGGTAGCTGTCTTCTGGAATCAGGGCCAAGTGCAATTAGTTCTGAAGCTGAAATTAATAAAGAATGAGGGAATGGTTGGTTTCTTGGAACAGGCTGTACAAATTGACCTATTTTTATTAGTGAGAAGGCCACTGTCCTGTAAAGAAAATTCTAAGTATTCATGAATACATGGAGGACACACTTGTGTCCAATTAATTCGTGGTGAAGCTCTCTTTTCCCTTTAAGGAAACAATAATCTACTTGAATGAAAGGATATCTACCCAGAGAGTACAAGGCGGTGGCTGCTGAGTTGGACGCAGCAGCCAGCAATGTCTGCCCTTGGCTTTGAAAATAACACTTCACAACATACTGTGCATCAAAGGAAGAACGCTCTTACTTGTAACAAAAGCAGCTGAAGAAGATGATCATAGCAACTATACAGACAGCCATGGACACAAGCACAACCAGCCATCGAACGCTGCCATCGAAGAACGGACCTGTCAACAGAAGGAAACACATTACCTCTCCAGCCTGTCCTCTTAGGCCAGGGGCATCACCTGAGTGTTCATTTCAGGGCCTGTGCTGACATACCTACAACAGCAGGGGGCAGTGTAGGCTGTAGATACTGGTTACACAGGTGGGTGCGGCAGCATTCTATTGTCCTGCGCAGCTGGGCCTTGGGTGAATCCTAGAGGAAGAGTAATGGCAAGATTGGAAATGGCAGAAAAAGTTAACAATGAATTTTTCAGTACTCATAAAAATGTAATTACTAAATCAATAAGCAAAAAATACTTGCCAACTTTACATGTAAAAATAGTATCCTGCTAAAATAGTGCTGTGAAGACTGTAAAATGGTTTGTTTTTGTCTATTTGAAAGACAGAGGGATACTGAGACAGAGAATATTTCATCCTCTGGCTCACTCTGCTAATGCCCCGGCAGCAGGAGTCAGGACGCATTTGGGCCCACACGGCAGGGCCCTAAGCACTGCCCCCAGGACGCAGCAGCAGGAAGCTGGATCAGAAGCAGGAGCAGGGTGTGAACTGGCACTCAGACACGGATGCAAGCTCCTCAAGCAGCGGCTTCATTTGCAGAGCTGCAACACCTATCCTGAACAGCTTTCCTTAAGAACACATATTTTGTGGATGGTGAGTGTCCCTGCCACTGCGCAAGCCTTGCTATATCCTATTAATGAGTTACAACTCAGAGTCGGTAGAAGCTTATTTATTCTAAGATCATGAGATCTTTTCCTTAAAAACATGAATATTAAAATGCATCACAATCATCACCCAGCATCCTGAGTGTGACCTCCCAGGGGCACCGAGACTGGGCTGAGACTCAGGATCCCACGAACAAGTTGAGGCAGTCCAAAGCCAGAGGGAGCTGCAGCTGCCACAAAGGACCACTGTGCTCACACCCGTGGCACCCACGGTGAGGCGGACACAGAAGCAGTGCTGCTGGGAGCTGGAGCCCACCGGCCAGAGACGCGCCCCGCAGAGCCAGAAACCACAGGCACAGAGCGCAGCTACCAGGTGTGGGGTCTATGTGAATGACAGCGCAGCATCTGATACGTTGAAGGCTAACATTTCAGCAGTGCCTGGCAGAGCTGCCATCCTGGGCCACAATTCTAAGAAAAAGACACTATATTTTTCAATATAAAAGCAGCAAGAATATAAGCAGAAGTTCCCAGGCTGTCCTTCCTCACACCAGGTGGTTAGAAAGGGAAAGATTCGGAATAATCAGGTGTTACTTTGAAGAGCTGAACATAAGACCTGTGACTGCAGAACTTATCTGGGAAGATCCCAAGGGAATTTGGAAATTTCCAAATAAAAAGTTTTACATTCTTAAAAATTAATCTATTTTTATTGGAAAGGCTTATATACTGAGAGAAGGAGATACAGAAAGATCCTCCATCAGCTGGTTCACCCTCCAAATTACTGCAAGAATTGCAGCTGAGGGCCTGGCACGGTAGCCTAGTAGCTTAAGTCCTCGCCTTGCACATGCTGAGATTCCCATATGGGCGCCAGTTCTAATCCTGGCTGCTCGGCTTCCCATCCAGCTCCCTGCTTGTGACCTGGGAAAGCAGTAGAGGGAGGCCCAAAGCCTTGGGACCCTGCACCTGTGTGAGAGACCCAGAAGAGGTTCTGGGCTCCTGGCTTCAGATTAGCTCAGCTTCAGTTGTTACAGCCGCGTGAAAAGTAAATCAATAGACAGAAGATATTCCTCAAAAAATAAAATAAATATTTAAAAAGAATGAAAAAAAGAATTGGAGCTGGGCCAATCCGAAGCCAGGAGCCAGGAGTACCTTCTGAGTTTCCCGCGCGGGTGCAGGGTCTCAAGGCTCTGGGTCGTCCTTGATTGCTTTCACAGACCAAAAGCTGGGAGCTGGATGGGGAGTAGACTAGCCAGGACACAAACCGGCACCCATATAGGATCTCAGTGTATGCAAGACAATGACTTTAGCCACTAGGCTTTTACATTTTAACTGAAAATTTTTTTAAAAAAAAACTTGTTTACTTTAAAATCACTTTGATGAGAAAGAGAAAACAGAGATATATATTAAGGATAATCTGAAGAATCTGAAATAATTCCAAATCCAGGAAAGACACACACAGTGTAGGCGTCCTCACCGGCTAAGGGTAAGGAAGAGAGCTAAACATCCGACACTATCCAGGGAGCCCAGGAAAGGCAGCGCTGCGATGACCAGTGAGCAGTCGGCCTAAGACCAAGCAGCGCAGGGAGTGCAGACAGAGCCGCACAAGTGGCTGGCTCCTGTTTCACTGTCTTCCCTGTCATCGATGATTTGTAGGGGTGAAGGTGGTAGACCAGAAACCACCAGGTAAGCGCAGACAGCCCGCGTGCAGGAAGACGGCTGACAGCGTTTCTGCATTCCATGTGAGCTCCTCTCCCCTAACCTCGGTGTCTGATGTCCCAGGAAGAACAGATTACTCATGAGACGGCTGAAAGACAGACATGATTTAAGGACTCTGGAAACCAGATAGCTAAAGGTCACGGTGCTTCTCTTGAAAAGGGAAGACAGCAGAGCCTGCCAGCAGACTAAAGGCAGGTCGCTGCTATGGAAAAAGCGAGGGCTCTGGAATCAAACCCTAGCTCTGCCCGTGAATTACCCTGAGCCTTAGCTCTGCTGAAAAACACAGGATAAAAAAAGATCTGCTTTAGAGGAACTGGAAAGAAATGAGGTAGGTCCACTAAATGCCAGCATGCCAATGCAAATAGCAAATATCCAATTAGCTCTCTGGTGAGCTTGACAAGAACCCCTGATGAGATGCCAGAACAAGCCAAAAAGGCTGGGAACCCCCCACATGCCTGAGATCTCATCAAGGACTGGTGGCCCCAGCATCGCTCCACCTCCAACAGGAGCGGACAGAACCAGGTCTGCCTCGGTTTCAGGGCTGGGTGACGCAGCCTTTCCCTTTCCTGCGCTGCCCACTCCCATCCTCCACACAAGTCAATTTTCATTTCCAGATTTATGTAGGAAATAAAAATCTCTGCGGGGAAAAAATTCACTTGGCATTTATTAAGTGCAAGAGTCTACGTTACATCAACTCATTTTGTGAGCTTGAGAGGGAGACAGTACAGGAGGTGGAAACAAAACCAAATTACCAGGAATGAGAGTGGGGTTTCTGAGCAATAATCCATCCCACAGGAAGAGAGAGTAAGTCGGGCTGGTGGGAACGCGCCGCGTATCGACAGCCCTCTGTAGCCCAGCATCCCCTGACCCATCCCAGCAGGCTGTGCCGGGAGGCAGGAGTCAGAGCTGTCGTCCTCCAGCTGGACAGGAGTGATGTTTACCAAGACAGGGAGACAGTTAGCTAAGCGCCTATCAAACTCTACCATGACACTGACCATGCTTATACACGGGCAAAGGGGTTACCTACTACCTGCTAGCTTCCTGGTCAGTCACGGTCAGTATGCTCAAGCCAGGAGCCAGGCTGGCTAAGGAGCCCGGCTGGCTAAGGAGCCCAGCTACTTGAGCCATCATCACTGTCCCCCACAGTCTGTACTCTGAAGAAGCTGAAAACAGGAGCTGGTGGCAGAGGTCCAACCCAGGTACTCTGATGGCAGGTGTAGGCATTTTAACCACTAGGTCTAAGCCGGCTCCTCACTTGAAAAGCTGGTACCCATGTCAGAGTGCAGGTCTGAGTCCCAGCTGCTCCTCTTCCAACTCAGCTCACGTACCTGGGAAGACAAATGACGGCGTCCCAGGTACTCGGGCCCCTGCCGCTCCCATGGGAGACTTGGACTGGAGTTCAGGGTTCCTAGCTTTATTGCACTCTGCCTTACCAAAAAAAAATGTCATTGCAGCAAGTTCTATAATCTGTAAGCAAATGTGACAGCATCCATTTTTGCAATAATGACAAACTAAGTTGATTTCAAATTTTCTCTTGAAAGTAAAATAACCTAAAATGTCACCACAATCATACCACTTGATGTGAGAGGTTCCCGCAGCCATCTGCTCCCAGAACACACAGCAGTGTGGACAGCGGGTGCGTGTCCGCGCCTTTCCCGGGGCCCCTCCCTTCACCAAATGGGTCCCAAGCCAGACTCACCTTGCACTGGAAGTCAGATCCTTCATATTTCATACATCCCGAAGCCAATGTGGTTTCTCCCTGGTCATCTTCTTCGATGATGGCAAAGCAATGTCCATTAGTTCTGTAAGGGAATACCCACTATTGACCTCTCACGAAGACAGAGTGCTCATGAATGGCACTGATGCCTCAAGGAGCTTATTTTCCAAATTAGGACTGCATTCACATGTGACCTACTGGCAAAGCCACGCAGGCTTTGGGCACGGGAGTGGCTATCCCTGAACTAAGATGTGAAGGGCTCAGGAGGACCCTGTGTCCAGGTGAAAAAGATTTCTGTTTGCCGCCAAGTGGCAAACTTCTTGCTAATGCAGTCATGTGATCACAGAAAGCTTACTTGTGAAGCTTAAAAAAGTAATGTTTCAAAAGTATGCTTAAGATAATGCTGAAGTCTTTCTATCCATAATACTTTCAGGATTCACATTTATACATGAAAACAAATAAAACTCATTTTATTTTTTAATCTTTATTTATTATTATTATTATCGTGTGAGATCCACAGACTCAATCTTGATGTGATGGAAAACAGGCAGAATTTTTTTTAATTTTTTTTTTATTTTTGTCAGGCAGAACTTTTGTGGCTGTTAAAATTTCAATTTATATAAGCATATTTATAGCATTTCCACAATATATCCACCTAGAATATGATGAATATGGAAGATACTTCTACATTTTTGATGTCACCATTTTATTATATCAGAGGTATGCTGTTGTCACTTAAAAATTTTCGTAGACCAACTAGGCTGCAGCTCCCACTGGTGTACATGAGGGCTGAGTGTGTAGTGGGCTGGGTTGGTCTGAGCTATAGCATCCAATGATTTGTGTATGACATGGGGTTGGAGACAGAACTGACCCAGCAATTAGAATGACCAGTGTATACGCAGGCTGATGTGGGGGACAGACTGAGCCAGATCCTGTACTGGCAAGCACACGTAAGAGTCAGGTCTGGGATTGCCTCAGATGTCTCTTTGGGAATTCTCCCACTGAACCACTAGACTCAGAACTCCAACGACGTGGAGAATCGCAGAATCTGTAGACTGACCCTAGAGTGCTGGTGTTAGAACTAGGCCTCCTCAGTAGAAAAGACAGAGCAGTGGACGGCATGCCCAGATGCACACGGAGGATATGGCAGACCATTGGGACCTAGAGGACATGTGGTACCACAGCAGGAGGACAGAACAAATTGGTCAACTACTCCAGCCAAGCAATGACAGCATATATCTGGGTGAATGGAGACTCTAGGTTGGACTGTGTGGACTGTGTCAGCCAGTGGACCTTGGAAGGATTTCCTCATCCTTGGACCGGTGAGATCAACAGCACTTCAGAACTATTGAGACCACTTAAGCAGAACCCTCGGACATGCCCCACATCAGGGACCCTGGGATGGCAGTTGGCCGCTCCCTATCCCTGGATGCTGGGATGGTTGGGAGGCTGGGTGCGGCTTCACTCGTCTTCCCCCTTCCCAGACAGAGGAGGAGGAAAAAGTAAGTTTGGAGGTAGTGGTCTCAACCACACTCCCCTAACCCTCGATCCTTCCCACCCTGATCAACTGTGCTATGTAAACATCATCAAAAAATTTTTGTAGAATTTCTCATTTTCTGTTAAGAGGGAAATGTGAGGTTAAAATTCTGCTAAAACTGATGATTCAGTTTTGTTTGGGAACAGGGAGGGGGAATAAGTTACTAATAAATAACCCATCATATCAGGCAAGTACTATATAAATGTCTGGGCAATTAATATAAATGAGAAACTGAAATAGACAAAACACATTTGGCTTGCAGCACAGGGGAGGACATCTGGCTTAGCAGGTAAGAGAGGATGCCCACATGCACAACTGGGGTGCCTTAGCTGGTTCAAACCCCAGCTCTGCTCCCGATTCTGACTTCAACTGCCTGCTAATGTGCACCAAGGGAGGCAGCAGGCATGACAAGCCGCCTTGTTGCTGCCACGTGTACAAGAGGGCTGGAGTAAGTTCCTAGCTCCTGCTTTGGCTCTGCCCTATCTCAGGTACTTCAGACATCTGGGGTGTGAGCTGGGGGATGGGAGATGTCTTACCACCTTTAAAATAAGGAGCAAACTTTCAGCAGGCAGCTAGAACAGAAGGAGCGCAGGAATTTGAACCTAGGCTCTCCAATATGGAATATATCCACCAAAGCAGCATTAAAACCACCGTACCCAAAGCCTGCTCCACAATAGCGTTTTTATTTATCAAGGAAGTATCAATCATTTAGTGGAACAATGTTCTTATATGCTAAGTAAGTTTTTTCAGTCCTCTGGAAAGATACTGTACATAACCTGAGAGAAAAACCTCAGATAATCTTAGCAATTTTTCCAATAGCACCAGACACCACTCTACTCACCTACCTTTAAGGGGAATTGCACAAACACTTACATGCATGTGTTATTGATCGCATCATCTGGGCAGTGTCCTGAGCAATAGCACTTCAAAAAAGGCAACGTGTCCTCTGGGGCCAAGGTGGCTCCATTTTCTGACTTCTTCTGGTCGGACTCCGATTTTACCCCAGTGCCATGGAGCATACTGTCTAGATTCTGTCCTGTATTCAAATAAGGAATCTGTAAGTATACAATTTCTGGAAAGCTGTCCACAGTTTTTAATGAGGCAATGTTTCTACGTTCTTAACACAATAATTGCAACAAATCTTAAAAGCACTGTGGATCACCTAGAGATAGCTAGGTTACTAGTCTGCACTAGTGAAGGCAAGCCAGGACAGCACAGGCTTGACCTTGGTCTTAACCTGTGGGAAGGGCTGAGACTGTCTCCACAGTAACACACACACAAGTCAGGATTCTTCTCCTGAAGTCTTTGGTTCAAAGCTGGTGACTAGCTTTAAAATGTCCTTTATTTGTACCCTTCTGTGGAAAGGAGCTACTAAGCATCTTGCTGGGGCCTTTAATTGCTTAAGTAAGGGAACAGCGTGAGCATGAGACCAAGTGTGCTATCTGGAGCTCTTTTATCTCGAGGTCATTGGTTGGGATCCAGACCTCGCTGCCAAGAACTGAAGGTTACTGGAGGGCAGGCAGTACTGAGTTTATGGAAAGAGAACTGGGTGTTTGCATTAGAATCCAGTGGCCTCAAGTGACAGGTACAGTCAGACGTGGCACTGAAACCTTTCAGACAGGAAGCAGATCAGAACTGCAATGCCTGCTGTAGGAACTACGTCTGCCCTGTCACTCAGCTAAGATCGCCTAGCCATTCTTGTGGGTTTCCCTCAAGAGTCAAACACCTACATGTGGGCCTTTCTTTTCCTTTCTCATTTCCTTCCTTCCTCCTCTCCCTTTTCCTTTTTTTTTTTTTTAAAGATTTATTCATGTTTATCATAAAGGCAGATCTACAGAGAGGAGAAACTAAGATAAAAAACGTCCATCTGCTGGCTCACTTCTCAAGTGGCCACAATGGCCAGAGATGAGCAAATCCAAAGCGAGGAGCCAGAGCTTCCCCTGGGTCTCCCACGCAGGCGCAGGGTCCCAAGGCTTTGGGTCATCCTATACTGCTTTCCCAGGCCACAAGCAGGGAACTGGAAGGGAAATGAGGCAGCCAGGACATGAACCAGGATCCATACGCGATCCTGGCGCATGCAAAAAGGATTTAGCCACTAGGCTGTCCCACTGGCCCTGTCTTTCATTATCAGCACCAAATAAATAGTTCAGGACACACTGTGGACATGACTTTAAACTTAGCCATACTGACAAGATGAAATCTTGGGAACAGAAAAATCATGCACTTGCACACAGCAAAATCAGCAAAGAACGTGTGGCTTGACAAGTATGTCAGGGATCCAACACTCGGCAGTCTGACTCGTCTTCCTTACACCAACGTGCAGTGAGGAACTTCACTTCTTGGGGAGTGTAACACATGCACAGGAGAAACGCCTTCAACAAAGACAAGGTGCTAGGCTTCCGTAGGACACACGAGAAAGCACAGTGTCCAGTCCCTAATCAGCACCGTCCTTTCCAAAACAGTGCAATGTCAGGGCAAAGCTGCTGGGAGCCTTCCAATTTTCTATGCAAACGGCAGACTTCACATGTTTTCAAGAGCATGAACTGAAAAGATGAAGGTACAGCAAAGGAATAACTGCATTAGGTGGAAGAGACCCGGATGCTGATCTTTTCTGGGCCCACCCCAGGTTCAGCTGGCTGTGTGACTATGTGTGACCCATTACACTCCTCCACCCAGTAAGCCCAGGAGACCAGGGACAGCTGAGAACTGATTCAGCTCTCAAACTATGTTACAAGGGCTGGTGCTGTGGCACAGTCAGCTAAGCTGCTGCCTGCAGCACTGACATCCCATACTGGAGTGTTGGCTTGTGTCCCAACTGCTCTACTTCCTATCCAGCTCCCTGCTAATGCACTTGGGAAAGCAACAGACGGCAGTACGAAACACAGTACCCTATTTCTATCATTTCTACTTCTTTATGGCCTAGAATATCTCTACAGCGAGATGCCCCCTCTCATCTGCTGCCGAAGTACCTGGTGCAGCACATGTAATAACAAAGAGAAATTAATGCTTGATTTCTGCCCCACCCCCCTTTCACAATTTGTTAAAATTACTGACCTGGATACCTTCAATAATAACCAGTCAGTTTTTTCAATAAGATTGAAAAGGAATGTATTTCAGTCACTACAAACTCGGGAACTTATACATAATAAATCAGTTTTAATACCCTGCAGTTATTATCCTTGCCAATGCTCAAATGGTTCCAATTCTGCCACATCAAACAGGTCCCTGCATCCTCTGAGCTCTCCCTTGCTCTGCAGCCAAGATGTCCCAGGTCACCTTGCACTTGCCTTGCCAGATTCAAAATCAGCAATTTCTCCAAGGAGTTCCAAGCCTCTCAGTGGAAAGAGAAAATCAAGAGGCCATGATCTGTTGATACAGCACTTACTGCTATGGGGCTGTTCAGTAAAATAAATGTCTGAAACATAATTTTTAAAGATTTTATTTTTAGTTATTATTTGAAAAGCAAAGATAAAGAAAATGGAGAGACAGAGATCTTCTAACTGCTTATTCACTCCCCAAATGGTTGCAATGGCTAGGGTTGGGCCAGGCTGAACCCCAAAGCTTCTTCTGGATCTCCCAAATGGATACAGGGACCCAAGCTCTTATCTGGTGTTGCTTTCCCAGGTACGTTAGAAAGGAACTGGGACTCTAACTGATACCCATACGGGATGCTAGCATTGCAGGTGCAGGCCTAACTTACTATACCACAACACTGACCCCAACAATATTTTTCTTTCCTTTACCTGTTTTTAATTCATGAAAATGTATTAGGTAAATACATACTGGTAATAAGCTTTAAGTTCTGAAGCAGAACAATGAACAAAGTTCCTTATTAATTAGAGCCCTAAATCTTAAGAGGGGAAAGACAATACAAACCAATAAACACTGCTGTTGGCATTGTTTTCACAGGGATTCAGAGATAAGTGCTAGGAAATCAAAACCAGCAGGGTCACTTTCTAACACGCAGTACAGTGGAGGGCATCTACCCAAGGCCAGGGAGCAGGCCGGCAAGGATGGACAACCAGAGACTGCAATCCTCAGCACACCACAGCTAGAAACTCACGGATGTTGAGCAGAAACCAGAAACAAACTGAATGTCAAAATATCAAGGGTCTGTATTGCCAAAGGTACAGCTGGACTCCTCAGGAGCTGCCACTAAAGCCACCCAGACTGCTGAGAACCCCCTTCACTAAACCACCACCTCAGCACAGCGAGAATCCCACAGGTGACTACTGGGCTGTCATAAGGCCAGCCACTCTCCATGGCCATGCTACATGTGCAGCAATGACTGCAGAGCACGTTTCTAACCATCCTTCCTCTTAACAGGAACTGATCTCTTTCAACCACACACCCACCGCTTGGCCACCAAGAGGATCAGCAGCTGAGAGCACAGAGCAGACCAACTCTGGGTTTAGTTTCCTGGGAAGACACACTCACCAAGAGCCTTCTGGCTGCGCATCAAATGCCCTCAAGAAGGCTGTGAGCATCACCGGGCAGACCAACATGGCACCCCATTAACAGACACCGGCAGCTGTTCCTCTCCTGTCGGCAGCATGCGTGTGCACACACTCATGTGCTCTGTCTTGCAATTGTTAAACAGTTATTTAAAAGTCAGAGTTAGACTGGAGACAGAGAGGTCTTCCATCCGCAGGTTCACTGCTCAGATGGGATGCCTTTCCACGCCATGCCACAACACTGAGCCCACTTACACACTCTAAATGCCTGCCTTCCTCCTCAAGATTGAGGCAAAGTGCAGCCCTGCTCTCAACTGAGATAACTGCTATTCCAACAGCTTTAGATCCATTCCCCCTGGGGGTGATTTGTTTGCCCAAGGATGTATATCAAATTTTGACACTAAGATTAGAAGGAAGTCTATTGGAGGAAGGAGGGGAGTGTCTGGGGAAACATTTCTTTATCAATTAAAAAGAGATGTGAAGAGATACATCCACTCCCCTTTGTTTCACTGAATGTTATCAACAAGAAGCTGTGGCGTCTGCCGCCTCAGCAGGCACACCATGGCTGGCTGCGAGGTGAGCTAACCCAGAGCTAAACTGACACATGCAGGATGGCACAACTAGTTCCCACACCTTCAGACTCCTGCTAAGCTTTCTTAAACTGCTCTTTTTCTTTTTTTGCTACCCGTAGCTGAGAGCATACTGACAGATGAGTTAAACTGCATCTCAGACTTTCAGTTGCCCAGCTGATGTCTATCCCCCTTCCCAAGCTAATCCAACTCCGATTTTGTTTAGGGCACAATGCATTCAGCCCTAGGAAACACAGAGATTAATTTAAGAAAATGGCAAGAAGCTGTTTGCCCATAGCCCTGGATTAGGTTCATTGTAGCCAATAAGCATTAGGATAAGATCTGCTGGGAGACAAATGTGTTTCCGGGACACCTGTGCTTTTCCAGTTGAGGCTGGTACCCCCCCTTCCTCATTTTTCCTGCCTCAAATGAAGAGCAGTTACCCTGCAACCAAACAGGAAGACCCAAGAGAATTGCAGATGTCCACCTTGACAGTGCTGCATGACTAAATGAACGCTGGTTGACACCCACAACCTATGTTCACACTAAACTCAGTTTAAGTCACTGCCAGTTGAGTAACCAGTTACTTTCAACTAAAACCAAAGTTTAGAAGCAAAAGGACTAAACATCGATTAGAAGTTACTATCAATATGCGGAAAATCAGTCAGGTGGGTGGAAACTGGTGGGAGGGGAACCCCAGACTATACAGAATTTCAAAATTTAAAATAATAATAATAATAAAAAGAAGTTAGTATCAGATGACTCTAGAGCTGCTACCATAGAACAGTGGGTAAGGTTTTATTTGCGACACCATAAGGCTCCCACATGGGTGCAGGTTTAACTTCCAGCTGTTCCAGTTCTGATTCAGCTCCCTGCTACTGACCCGGAAAAAGCTGCAGAAGGTTGCCCAAGTGCTTTGGCCCCTAGTACACACACAGCAGATCCAGATGAGGCTCATGGCTTTGGCCTGGTCCGGTCCTGGCTGTTGCAGCTATTTGGAGGTGAACCAACAGATAGAAGCTGTCTTTCTCTCTGTAACTCTGGTTCTCAAAATAAATAAGTACATTAGAAAAAAAATGGTGGTGGTGGGGGGCTTCCCCGGTGCTATGGCACTGCAAGCAAAGCTGCTGCCTGCAGTGCCAGCATCCCATTTAGAGGCTTGTTTGAGTTCTAGCTCTTCCACTTCTGATCCAGTTCTATTAGTGTGATTGAGAAAACAGCTGGAGACAGCTCGAAAGTTTCTGCCCCAGAAGCCACATGACAGACCCAAAAGAAGCTCCTGGCTCCTAGCTTTAGTCTGGCCCAGCTCTGGCAGTTGTGGCCATTTGCAGAGTGAGCTACCAGATGGAAAAATCTCTCTATGCAATTTTGCTTTTCAAATAAGTCTTAAAAATGTATCAGATGCCTCATTCTTCCAGTGAAGCCAAAGTGACCTTGTCTCAATCTAAGGCATTTAAACCCACATCAGAATACTGATGCTCACAAAACCCCTGCTTATACCTAGGATAAGTGTCCTGAGACACAATTCAAGCTAAAGTTAGAACTGAAGTAACTTTTTTTCCATTGCACCACTCTGAAATTCTCAGTAATTCCTAGGAAGTAAGAACTTTACTAATAATTTTCTTTATAAGCAGATACTTTTTGTGCTATCATTTGTGGCAACTATCAAAATAATTTTCTCTTTTTTTGCCTTGTTTTTGTTTTAAATAAATATTTACTTATTTGAAAGGCACAGCAAGAGTGTGAGAGGGAGAATCAGAGCCAGAGCCAGGGATCGATCTGGCTCACTTCCTGAATGGCTACAACAGCTCAGCGGGCCCGGGTTGGACCCAGGAATGAGACGCTCCTGAGGCTCCGTGGGAGTGGCAGGGGCCCAGGGACTCTGGGCATCCTCCCGTTTCCCAAAGTGCATTAGTGAGAGCTGGGCAAGAAGTAGAGCAGTGAACTGGTGTCCACATGGGATGCTGGTGTCACAGCCCGCACTTTAATCTGCTACACCACTTAAGGGAAACAAAAGCACATTTGCTTTTTATCATAGGCATGTACAATTCTTAAGTCTTTCTGTTTATTTATATCTGATAATTAACCAAAAATGTATTCCATTTAATAAAAGTATAGTACATGAAGATACTTCAAGAAGTCCATGAGCCGGCTGCTGCTGTCGTACAGTAAGTAGGCTCAGCTTCTGCCTGTGGTGCTGGCATCCCTTATGGGCATCAATTCATATTCCAGCTGCCTCCCTGCTTGTGGCCTGGGAAAGCAGCAGAGCACAGCCCAAAGCCTTGCGACCCTACACCCACATGGGAGACCAGAAGAAGATCCTGGTTTCTGGGTTTGGATTAGCTCCTCTTGGCTATAGTGACCATTTGGAGAGTAAATCAATGGGTGGAATATCTACTATCTCTATATTTCAAGTAAAAATAAATCTTTTTTTAAAAAAAGTACATAGAGAACAAATTACAAGAAGTTTATTCTGGTGCAAGAATTCTTAAATCCACAGGGGTTTTGTTTTTGCTTTTGGTTTTGTTTGGTAATACACATTTTCCTCGAACTTTTCCAAATAACCTTCATTGAACAATCTGAGATGGTGTGGGGGATGAGGATTTTATACTACACTGCCTAGAGACAACCTACAAAGACCTTATTTCTTCTTTTACTTCAAATAGAGATGACGTGGAGGTAAGAGGCAAACAGAAATGTTACTATTAATTTTAACTCTTCATTCTTAAAACAATGACTGCTTTGGTTGATGCTGATCAAGCAAGCATGTCACCGATATAAAAATAAAAATGTGTTAAGAAATCTGGTGTTTCACAGAGAAGAGCGGCTTTTACAAGACGCCTCTGTATCCTGACTACGGCAATAATGATACTGTTATATTTGAAGCAAAACATAAGCAGCCCACAGCTTTAATGAAAATGCCAAAAGCTTTATGCCGCTCAGCATCTTTCTTTTTGTGGATGGATATTAATCCATATCACTGTGAACCAAATGAAAGAGCAGCCTAGGAAGTTAAAAAAAAAATTGAGCATATGACTATGTTCACTAGGCTCTATCTGAAATCCTTCTGGAAACACAGTTCTTTCTCTTCAGTTAAAACATTATGCTAATTAAATCATACAGGAAAAACCTCTCGTGCAAATGCAGCTCTTATGACCAAGAGTCCTTACAATGACTTCCTGCTGGGAGACGCAAGCGAGGAACACGCAGGGTGATATTACAGTAGCGGTCAGAAATCGAGTTTCAGCAAAATTTTAGCACTCAGCACAGACAAGTGCCACTTACATTTCATCACATTTAATCCTCCAAGACCTCATGATGCCGTATTGAGACAATGTCTATGCTACGGATGTGCAAATAGGCTCTGAGAGGCGAAGACTTTCAAAGGCATTAGAAATAGTTTCTACTGAAGCCAAGTTCGAAAGTTTAACATGTGTCAATTGCCTCTTAAAAAGCCATGCTGGGGTCCGAAGTGGTAGCCTAGCAGCTAAAGTCCTTGCCTTGCAAGCACCGGGATCCCATATGAATGCTGGTTCTAATCCTGGAGGCCCCATTTCCCATCCAGCTCCCTGCTTGTGGCCTGGGAAAGCAGTGGAGGGTGTCCCAAAACCTTGGGACCCCGCACCTGTTTGGAAGACTTGGAAGAGACTCCAGGCTCCTGGCTTTGGATCGGCACAACTCCAGCTGTTGCGGCCACTTGGGGAGTGAATCAATAGACAGAAGATCTTCCTTTCTGTCTCTCCTCTCTCTCTCTCTCTCATCTAACTTTACAAAAAAAAAAATAAATAAACCTTTTTTTTTTTCAAACATTGAAAATAAATAGCAGTAATAGCTTTCTTGAAATGCTGGGCCTAACTGTTCTGTTCAAAAGACAACATGAGTTGAAAGAACAGATACTGTAGCTGGCATGTGGCACAGCGAGTTAAGCCACTGCCAGCAATACGAGCTAGCATCCTTATTGGTGACAGTTCAAGTCCTGGTTGCTCTTCTTCCCATCCTTGCTAATGTCCCTGGGAAAGCCGCAAATGATGCCCCAAGTGCTTGAGCCCCTGCAGCCATATGAGATTAAGCACCTGGCTTCAGCTTGGCCAGGCCCCAACCACTGCAGCCATCTGGGAAGTGAACAGGAGATCAAAGAGATCTCTTTGTCTTTGCAGCAAATAAAATGAATCTATCCTCAGCCCCGCCCCCCCCCAAAAAGAACAGACAAGAGAATGAATGCCTACATCAACTACTGCAGAGAGCACCTACTGACCTTGAACATGAGAAAGGAAGAACAGGTAGGCTCCCAGTAATCGAAGGTAGATACAGGGCTGAGTCATTGTTCACCCTCAGTGTTGCCTGTCCTCTGTCACCTTGAACAAATGATCTTTGGGTGACCTTCTCAGGGAGGTGTTCTAGTGGCAGGCCACAATCACTTGACAAAGCCTCCAACGCCCACTGTTTTCTCCTGAAAGACAAGAAAGTTAAAAGGCTAATGAGCATAACTCAACTTTGTAAAGCCTGCAAAAATCAATAGGAAAACACAGGCCCAGGCCTACTTCCAGACGAAGCTCTTCTAAAGCACCGGGCTGAAATAACTTAGTGGCGGACTGTAACCTCTGGATCTCAGAGAAACACATTAACTCTCTCCTTGGCTGCTCACATGTAAGCTGTTTGATTTTCAAGAAAATATAAGCCATTTACTAACATTCTTTCAAATCCTAAAGGATGTAATAAAAAAGATCTGGCATGTTTCTAACCATTTGTTCTACAGACAGAAAAGAACATTCACACAGAAAATCACACACACTTGAATTAGCAACAAGCTCCCTCATTAAAGCAAAACCAAGTGCAAATTCATCCTACGTGAAATGACTTTTAAAAACTAAGAATAAAATTTTAAAATTGCATGCTTAAAAGGAAAAAAAACTTGCCTAAAATATTGCAAATCTAACAACTAGGATATAATTTGGCTTTTAACATGGATGACATTCAACATAACATCTCAATTAAGATTTGGGAATTGTTCACATACCAAGAGGACTCTTCTTTTTTTGTTGTTAAGATTTACTTTTATTTGAAAGCCAGATTTTAGAGAGACGAAGTGATGGTCCATCCCTGAACCACTCCCCAAATGGCCTCAACTGAGCTGATTCAAAGGAGCTTCTTCTGGAAGCCCCCCACATGGGTGGCACGGCCCAAGGACTTGGGCTATCCTCTGCTACTTCCCCAGGCCATAAGCAGGGAGTTGGATCAGAAGTGGAGCAGCTGGGACATAAACTAGTGGCCATAAGGGATATGGTGCTGCAGGTAGCAGGCTGTCCTGTTATTCCATTGTGCCAGCCTCCTATACAGTGAACTCTTAAAGACCTCAAAGTAGAACAGTTTGAATAGGTAACAAGAAAAAAAAAAAAAAAGCTAGCATGCATCAAGATAGAAGCCTGAATCATCCCTGAATTAAAATGCTTTTACTTATTTCTGATACAACAACCACTGGTATGACTTCAAGCTTCCTCAATTATATTCTGGAATTTTTCAGTATAATTCACTCTCCAAAGGCATTTACAATACTAAGACAAAGTTAACAGCAAAATGTTTTATATGGACATCTTATTTATGACTTAGTTCTAAAATCCCCACAACTTCTTATTCTTCTGCTATAAAGTTAAATTGCTTCCCATGATACCATGCCGAGAGAAGATATCAAGTCCACATCCTTCGAATAATGTCGAAGATGCGACTTCACAGCATTCCTTTTGGAAACCTGACTTCCTGAAATTTTTCAATTGTGATTTTATGGATACTTGTTCCAGGTTCCAAACACAAACAAATTTCTAGTCGCTTTCATTCAACTTTGATCTGTGTCCCCGTGTCTATTTGCCCATCTCATATCGCCTTAGGAATACACCCTACCTGTCTAAACAAACTCTTCCGGCTCCCATCACAGTGACAGGCGGCACCATCTCTCCAGTCGTGGCTACTAAGTGGCTTGTCTCATTAGATCTATAAACTGGGCATCCTACAGGGTAATCCAGGAGACTCCAAGCATTTACCACACTCACACTGCTACACTGGTGGAAGGGCAAACCCTAAATCTACCTAAATAAGTCACTTCACCTCTCTGGGTGACTGTCCTTATCTTAAAAACCAATATGGTATTTGCTAACCCCAAGCTGTTTTGAGAATAATTCACCTCCAACTGTATGCCAGTACCGTAACAGAGGTTTTGCTAACAGCAACTAACTGAATCACAACAACCACCTTACCAGAAAGGAACAATTATTTTAATTTTATAGATGAGGAAAAAAGACAAGGGGACTTTAAGGAATTATTTCAGGTCATACTACTGGTAAGCGACAAGGTTGTAATTCAAACCAAGAAGGTCTGAGTCTGAACCCCACACATTACCTGCCACCCTACACTTTCTCCTGGACCCTCTGTGTATATTACATAAAATATACATTGCAGAGTGCTAGCAGAACTTAATGCAAAGCAGGAGTATAGTAATTCTTTTTTCCTCCCTCATCATGTACATATACAAAACACAGCCAACTTGGCACAGGAAGTAATATGTGTTACTGAGGACAAACTCATTTGAAAAAAATTTTTACAGATTAAAATTCTTGGGCATGACATCGTAGCCTAGTGGCTAACTTCTTTGCCTTGAATGCCAGTGCCATATGGGCATTGGTTCTAATCCCAGCTGCTCCAGTTCCCCTCCAGCTCCCTGCTTGTGGCCTGGGAAAGCAGTGGAGGATGGGTGGCCCAGGGCCTTAGCCTACACCTGAGTGGGGGATCTGAAGGAGGATCTTAGCTTCAGATTGGCTCAGTTTCTGGCCATTGCAGACACTTGTGGAGTAAAAATCAGTGGATGGAAGATCTTTCTTCTCTGTTTCTCCTCACCATAAATCTGACTTTCCAATAAGAATAAATAAATCTCAAAAAAAAAAAAAACCCTCTTATTAATGCATATGGAAACGAGCCTTTAGGGCTTAGCCAACTATAAGCTCAGTGTGTACCGCACTTAGGACAACTGCTAAGACTTGAATGTAATCTTGCCAAGCATTACCAAAAATAGAGGTTACTGCCTTAACTTCTACCTGGTCAGGCCTCTAGAGAGGAGAATGAAAGGAACGCAGAGTAGAAATGGCTTATCTTGAGATACAAGCAACAAAGCAAACGCACCTTCGTCAAGGACATACCAACATGAAAGGGCAAGTGGACTACAGATTTGTCAAATTCTTTCTAATGCTCAAGTCCTGCGTACAGTGTTCTTGCTTGTTCAGTATTGATTTACTCTCTAATTACGCCTATTTTATGCTTGACTCTAGTATGAGAACATGGCATCAACAGCTACTGAACGAGACAAGATACTCAAAAACAGCACAGGCCACTGGCAATCCCAACCCAAGGTTAGAAAGGAGGTGGCAAGCCATGGCGTAAATCAGCAGTGACCTACTTTATTCTAGGTCGAGGGGTGGGGAAGTAAAGAGCATGACAAGGGAGTCACAGCTGCAGGAGTCAAGAGCCAGCCCAGAGTAGGGAACAGCATTGAATCACAGGGAAGAGAGGGATAAGAGACAATGATGGAAGATGCGGTTAAAGGGCAGACTGAAAACACAAGGCCCAGATCAGGCAAGACCTGTGTAGGATTTCTGATGCAAATCAGGATGGAAGCAATCACCTGGTTTCTATACAATGAACTGGAGGAGGAAAGCACAAAACAGTGTGGAAATTTAGGGCAGTGAGGGGCCACTGCTGCGGAGTATTACGTCAAGCTACTATCTGCAAAGGCAGCATCCCGGACAACAGCACTAGTCCCAGCTGTGCTGCAGAAAAAGCAATAGAAAATTACCTTGTGTTGCCAGCTCCTGGATTCAGCCTGCTATGCCCCAGTTGTGGCAGCCACGTCAGGAGTGAACCAAGAGACACTCCCTGTCACTCTGCCTTTCAACCAAGTCCATCTTCAGAAAAAGAAATAGCAGTTTGGGAAAATGGCAACTGTGGCTCAGACTGCAAGGCATTATTGAAGTGGACTAAGTGGGATTTGCAAGGAGTGAAGGAAGTAGCAAAAATTGAGATTTGGACACCTGAGATTGCCCAGAGGGAATGCCTCACGGACCTCTGATTCCAAGGAAGGCATGTGGGGCGGAAGATAAACAAAAGGCACCGACACCACGTTCAGCTCTGTGGTTCACCACTGATTAAATACGGGTCAGTGTGAATACAGCACTGTGGGACTGTGGAAACTCATTCAAAAGGACATTTTTCAGTTAGAAAATACATATTCCACCTTTTCCAATATCATGTGGTGCTTTTGAAACTCCCTGCAAAGGGCAGAGCCTAACTACTTCCCCTGGAAGCTTCCAGGTCACTGAAGCTCCAGGGGTCCCTTACCCACAGCTCAGCTGGTTAGTTCTCTGCCTTGCAAGCACTGGGAGTCCATACAGGCACTGGTTCTGATCCCTGAGAAAGCAATAGAAGATGGTCCAAAGCCTTGGGACCCTGCAACCACATGGGAGACCCAGAAGCTTCTAGCTTTGGGCAGGCTCAGTTCCAGCCACTGTACCCATCTGGGGAGTGAACACGCAGATGGAAGATATTTCTTTGTTTTTCCTCTCTGTAAATATGTCTTTCCAATAAAAATAAATAAATCTCAAAAAAAAAAAAAGTGGCTTTTTGAGCAGAGCTTCCCTGTCCTGGCTGAGGTCAGAATTTCGCCTCTGGTTGGTTCTTTGGTCCAGGTTCTTGGGTCTGACTGCCAGATCAAGACCCAGCCCTGAGTGGCTCCTGGTGGCAAGGGCTCAGTGTGGACTGTGAGCCCTGTTTTTGCTAAGATTCTAGTGCATGGCTTCAGATACACTCCCCCTCCTCCTCTTCAAACAAGCTGTTTTACTGAAAGTTCCTGTTTAGAGTTTGGTGATATTTTGTTAGACTCACAGAGCTGTGAAAGTGTTGCTCTATGGTACATGTGTGTATTTGCAAGGAGGTTACGCGAAGGGAAAAGACGATATTCTTATGCTAATGCAGGCACTGGATAAGGAGCAAAGCAGCCAGGCAAACAATGCCCGTGGAGACAGAAAGTCTGCACTACATCCACTCCTTCTCAAAGAGCTTGTCAGACCAGGCGCCTGGCGCTGCCTGGGGGGGGCTGCAATGCCGAGTTTTCTCCTTGATGCTTCGTGGAACTGGCAGCTGGCCAGCTCGTTGGAAATTCCCAAACCTGTCTACTAGAAAGTAAAAATTAAGGGTGGGGGGCTTAATGGGAACAGGAAAGAATGACTTTGGTCTGTTTTTTCAGCTGACTTCAGCCTTTTCCTGTTTTGTTTTCTTCAAATTTTTATTGAACCATTGGTTCAATCTTCTTGCTATTTGCAAAGCTTTAACTTCTTTTTACTTAAATTCTCTTATTGAGTACCTGCCATTATTTTATTTTCCTGATGGAGAAACCTTACCAATGTGTGTATG